CGCCACGCGGCCGATGCCGCCCGCGCGCCCGGGCCGGCCGACGGCATGGACGACGACGAGGACGATGGCGCCAGCCGCATCTTCTTCGAGCCGGGCCTCTACCACTGCCTGGAGAACTGCGGCTCAGTGCTGCTCTCGGTGGCCTGCCAGGGCGGCGAGGGCAACAGCACCTTCTACGTGGACTACCGCACGGAGGACGGCTCGGCCAAGGCGGGCTCAGACTACGAGTACAGGTGAGGGGCGTGGCCCGACCGCGCGTGGGCGGGGCGATGGATGGGGGCCGGAGGCAGAGGGCGTGTCCCAAGCGGGAGTGGGCGTGGCCTGGGCAGGGCCTCTACCGTGGAGTGCAAATGGAGAATGGGAAGTCGTGGGAAGGGGCCCAAAGGTGCGGGGGCTGCAGGTTGTCTGTTCCATCCTGAGGTCAATACTGAGAGTCAAGTCTAACATCTGAGGTGCTGAAACGCACCCCGCCTGTCCCTGACTGGGAGGCTGTCATCTATTGTGTCTAGTTTTGGAACAGAAGTCTTGTGGAGATCCAGCCTTTTTTCGTGTGTGTGTGTGTGTGTGTGTGTGTGTGTGTGTGTGTGTTGGTCCTGGGGCTTGAACTCAGGGCCTGAGCACTGTTCCTGAGCTTTGTTGCTCAAGGGTAGCTCGACCATAGGTATACTTCTGGATTTTTGCTAGTTAAGTGGAGATAATAAAAGTCTCACGGACTGTTCCTTCCCCAACTGGCTTGGATCTGTGCCTCTTGAGTAGCTGGGACTACAGGCGGGAGCCACCAGCACCAGGCTTACACACACACACACACACACACACACACACACACTATAGATCCTAGGTTTGGCCTCAAACTCTAAGATCCTCCTGCCCCCAACCTGGGCGTGTACAACCACGCCCAGCCCTCTACTCAATTTTTTATTTTGAAAATTTTTACACCTACAGAGGTGTGATGAATTCACTTTGATGAGTCCTCATGTAACCCTCACCCAGACTCACCCGCTGTGCATTTGGCCCTGTTTGCTTTCAGTCTATGCAACATATAATAGCGAATCTGTAACATCTTGCGAATGTGAGTTACCTACCCCTCACCCTGCGTGTTCCTGGGTATTAGCATGGTTTCCCACGAGTCACGGGACCACACTCAGAAAAGTTAGCTGAGTGGGTGTCACCCAGTCAGTGTCCTGTCCGCGTCTGCACTTCCCATGTCCTGTGGCATGCCTGGCTGTGTTCTGCAGATGCCCTGGACACTACTGTGTCCCCACCATATGGCACAGGTGCTCGAATAGTGTTTGTTGAGTGAATCAAGGATGAGGACTGTGGGCTTTCTCTTCAGGGCACCTGTGGAGTTTTTATCAGACGAGTGACAGATTCCATTTCAAGATCCTCAAATCCCCACTGCTCCAAGTGTGGCCTGGGCACCAGGCTCACAGGCCCCAAAGCTGAGGAGAAATGCTGAATCTTGAAACACCAGAGGCTTTTGAACCCGAATCCCTGGAGAGCACTCCAGGCAGGCTCCCTCTTAACTTAGGGACTTTGCACGTGCTGTTGGTCCCTTCTGCTCAGAGCTTGCCTGTCTGTCCCTGTGCCTCCATCCGCATTAAGTCTGCCCCTTTAGGAAGTCCACCCTGATTTCACAGCCATCATTATCTCTTTGATGCCCACCTTCGTAATCCTCCCTGGGGAAGGAGTTGCTTTATCTCCTCCGTCCTCTTCCTCCGTGCAGCCCCTGCCCTGATCCCCCACGCCAGTCACCTGCCATTGACCGGCCCTCCCTCCTACCCTCCCTCCCTCCCTCCCTCCTTTCCTTTGTCCCCCCTGGCACAGCGAGGGCACGCTGGTGTTCAAGCCGGGCGAGACGCAGAAGGAGCTGCGCATCGGCATCATCGACGACGACATCTTCGAGGAAGACGAGCACTTTTTCGTGCGACTGCTGAACCTGCGCGTGGGCGACGCTCAGGGCATGTTCGAGCCCGACGGCGGCGGACGGCCCAAGGGGCGGCTGGTGTCGCCGCTGTTGGCCACCGTCACCATCCTGGACGACGACCACGCGGGCATCTTCTCCTTCCAGGACCGTCTGCTGCACGTGAGCGAGTGCATGGGCACCGTGGACGTGCGCGTGGTGCGCAGCTCGGGCGCGCGCGGCACCGTGCGGCTCCCCTACCGCACGGTGGATGGCACGGCGCGCGGCGGCGGCGTGCACTATGAGGACGCGTGCGGAGAGCTCGAGTTCGGCGATGATGAGACCATGTGAGCACATGGCCCCCAGCGGCCCGGGGGCGGGGCTGGCGAAAGGGGCGGGGCTCGAGGAGAGGCCAAGGATTCTGAGTGGACGGTGCATGGGGCGGAGCTAGCGAGGAGGGCGTGGCCTTGGAAACGGAGAGAGGCTGGGAGAGGCCAAGGATTCTTAGTGGATGGCGTCTGGGGCGGAGCTAGACAGAGGGGTGTGGCCTCAGAAACAGGGAGGCTGGGAGAGGCCAAGGATTCTGCTGAGTGGACAGTGCCTGGGACGTGGCCTGAGGAACAGGTGTCTGCGTGGGAGGGACCTGGGAATCACAGCATGGCTGACCGGAGTCCTGGCAAGTTTTGAGATTGAGCAGGGTCTGGGAAATGGAGGTTGGGAATAGGCAGAGCCTGTGAATGCGAGATAGATGGTTTTGTGTGGCCTTAAGAATGGCCTTGGACCAGGCACAGAAATGGTGCTTGGCTGAGTGGAGTTGGGATCTGGAGCCCGCAGGGTCTTCTGAGTGGGTCCTAGCAGAGGGAAGGGAGGTTGGCTGGGCTGAGGGGTCAGCACTGGAGACAAGGCGTGGCCTTACAAATGGATGGGGTCCGGTGGTGGCGAGGCCAGAGAAATGGTGCTTGGCTGAGCAGGAGGCGGGGCCTGTGGAATGGGTGGGGCGCGCTGGGCTGGGTTGGGTGGTGGGCGTGGCCTTGGCACTGGGTCCGGTCTCCCCGGGGCCCCAGAGAGACGTGGGGAAGAGTGGTTGAAGTCCCTGTCTGCGAATGATGGACGTCTGGGTTGGGACCAGCAGAAGTGGGCTGGGCCCGGGGCAATGGGCGTGGCTTGAGGGTGGGGCTGGTGGGAAGAGGCGGAGCTCCTGGAAGACCCAGGCTCTACGGGGAAGAAGGGGTTGGGCGGGGGGGGGGGGGTTGGATCCACACGCGGACATAGATGTCAGCCTTGGTCCCCGCTGTGCTCAGGCCCGGCCCCGCAGCCCTTCCCCCGCCAGGCGCACGCGCCTCGCCGCCCCGCTCCCTGCCGCCCCCGCAGCCCAGCTGTCGACTCCTCCCGGCCGCCCACGCGCCTCCCACCGGAGCCCCTCCGCGCGCCTCCTGCCTCTCCCGGTCCTCCCGGCCTCCGCCTGGCTTCCCGGGCTGCTTCCCTCCGGGTCCCTCCATCTCTGCCCCCACCCCGTGTCTAGCGCCCTGACTTTTGTGATATTTCAGGCCGTCTCCACCGCTCCCTCCCCCCCCCGCGTCCCCCACTTTCTGTCTGGCTAAATCCCTGTCTGGGGAGCTTGAATTGGCAGCTACTGGTGGTGTTGGGAGGAAACTGTCTTGACTTCATCTCTTATAACCGAGAGGCTGGAGGCATCCGGTCCCTCCTGTAATCCAACCTATGTCTCTCGTGTTGCTGTAATCCCACGGGGCCCTCTCCTCCTTCAACAAGGCTTCCCCAGTCTGGGACACCCTCTGTCCCCAGCCCCCGCCCGAAGCTTCCAGCTGTGACTTCAGGAGACACAGGGAACAGGAGGCTAATTAGCGTTTAGGGAAACACTTCCTTCCTCCGATGGGCAGGCGTTAATTAGAAGCGCTCTGGAGCAGGCTGGAGGAGAGGCCTGGGTAGGATCAACACAGAGGAGGAGCCAGACAGAGAATAAGAGGGACAGAGACGGACAACAGGGAAGAGAGTCAGGCCCCGGGACAGTCTGTACTGCACCGAAGGGAGAATTGGGGTCAGTGAGAGATGAGGGGAGGCAGGATAAGAAAGTCAGAGCTGTCGAGCTTGGTGGCTCACGCCTGTAATCCTAGCTACTCAGGAGGCTGAGATCAGGATTACAGTTCAAAGCCAACTGGGGCAGGAAAGGCCATGAGACTCTTATCTCCAAGTAACCACTTAAAAAAGGAAATGGGGCTGTGGCTCCAAGTGGTAAAGCACTAGCCTTGAGTAAAGAGAGCTCAGGGACAGTGCCAGGTCCCAAGTTCAAGCCCCACGACAAAACCAAATAAAGTCCGAGGTCAGAGGTTGAGGGGGTGAAGGGCCAGCGAGTGGAGTTTCTGAGGAGCAAGGAGAGAATGGCCAGCTGGAAAGGAAGACTGCTTCTTTCGATCTCAGAAAGACCAAATCTCTCTTCCTGTCCTCCAGTGGCTTAGGTTTCTCTCCTTCTGGATCAACTGAATGCTTGCTTTCTTCCTTCCAGGCTACCGGCTGACGTGTCACTGTGTCAGTCACAGGGTGGCAGCTGCCTGTCTCCCAGAGTGGCAGGGACACATGTGTCACCATGCCAGTATGTCACTGTGTCTGTGAGGCGTGCTTGGGAGACCTCCGCTCACTCAGTTTCAGCACCACGAACAGCTCCCAGCCCACTCCCAAGGTCCTCCGCCCTTTCTTCCCACCTACAGGAAAATTTAAATACCTAGCAAGCAGGAGCTTGGAGATGGGCGTTTGTCCCCACGTGACCCATTTATGTGCGGGTCCTGGCCCAGCCATGCTGTCAGCCGTGCTTTATTTCATCCCTTGGGCCCTGAATAACAAAGACAAGGAGTCAGAGAGGGTCAGAGACAGTAAGAGAGACCCAGGAAGAAGCTGAGATAAGCAGAGATGGACAGGCAAAAGTGAATCGAAGGTGCAGAAATGGAGATTGAAAAGAATAAACAGCAGGGCGCTGGTGGCCCACATCTGTAGTCGTAGTTACTCAGGAGGCTGAGATCTGAGGATCACAGTTCAAAGCCAGCCAGGGCAGGAAAGTCCATAAGACTCATCTCTAGTTAAACATCAGAAAACTGGGAGTGGTGCTGTGGCTCAAGTAGTAGAGCACTAGCCTTGAGCTGAAGAGCTCAGGGACAGTGCCCAGGCCCAGAGTTCAAGCCCCACAACCGACAAAAGAAAAGAAAGATAAAGACATCAAGAAGCATTAAGAAGCCAGGTTCTGAGGGTCATGCCTGTAATCCTAGCTAGGTAAGATGACATCTGGGAGATCGCAATTTAAAGCCAGCATGGGCAGAAAAGTCCACCTCTAGTTAACTAGAGAAATTCCAGACTGGACATGTATCTCAAGTGATAGAACACCAGCCAAGTGAGCAAGTTGTGCAAGCTCAAGGCCCTGAGTTCAACCCCCAGTACCATCAAAAAAAAAAAAAAAAGCATAAAGAAGCCAGGGTATGCTGGTACCTGCTTATAATCCCAGCTATTTGGGAAGGAGAGGCAGGAGGACAGTAAGTTTGAGGCCAGCTCCAGGCAAAGTTAGTAAGACCCTACGGCAGAATCAAAATGCCAACCAAAGGGGCGGGGTGGGCGTTGCTCAAGCGGTAGAACATTTGTCTAGCAAGGACCTGGGCTCAACTCCAGCCCTGCAAAGAAAGACATAAAGAGGCAAGACATGAGGAGGTAGGGAGGTGCGTGGCCCCCAGCTGGGCTCCGCAGGTTGGCAGTGGGGGTGTTGAGCATCTGGTCCCCGAGGAGGAGCATCTGCTCCTCGGTGGGGAGAGGCTGCGGGGGTGCGAGCGCGGTGGCAGGGCGGTGTGATTGGCGGGGGCGGTGTGATTGGCAGCAGCTTCCTCCACTGGGTAGCACGGGGGCGGGGCCTGCCTGTGGCAGGGGGTGGGGGGCGGCGCCGGGGCTGCGTGATGGTTCCAGCTCCTGACAGTTGCTAGTGGCAGATCCCGGGACAGTCTGGGGTGCTGCGTCCAGGTGACTCTGGGCAGTAGGTAAGTTGTGTGCCTGGATCAGGGAACAGGTAAGTCGTCCCGTCTCCCCGCCACACCCTGGGAACGGAGGTACAGGAGGGCAAAGTCAAGTTGCCCTCCGATAATATCTCGGGATGGAGGGCAGGAAGCTGGAGGCTTTCTGTACTGAATATACGTGTTTACTACATGGTAGGCCGTGTTATGGGGGGGGGGGGGAAACAGCAAAAGATTAGAGATGAACTTACCTGGTGGAAGTTTGAGTGTTAAAGTGAGTTAGCAGGAAAACAACAAAAGCAAATATATGAATGGGCCTGTTCAATTAGAACTTGATATGCAGGCCAGGTGTGGTCATGCACACCTGTAATCCCAGTCTACTCAGGAGACAGGAGGATCGAGGTCTGAGGCCAGCTGTGCATAAAGATATGAGACCCTATATGAAAAAAAACAATAAAAGCAAAATGAGGCTAGGAATGTACATGCCTTTCCTAGCAAGCTCAAGGCCCTGAGTTCAAACCTCAGTACCAAATAAGAAAAACAAAAAACTAAGACTGGTTCAGAAAAAAAGCCTAGGGCTGGGTCAGTGGGATGGATTTCAGTTTTAAGAGGGTGGGAAGCCACTTCATTGAGATGAGGAAGTCGGAATGGAGACCTGGTGGGCCTGGAGAAGCATGCCTGATGGAAGCAAGCACTAGCCAGAGGGAAGAGCAAGTGCAAAGGCCCTGAGGTCTGAGCAGGCAGGACGAGCTCAGAGACCAGAAAGGTCTGGAATCTCATGGAACATTCTAATACTTTGGCTTTTCTGTTAAGTAAGACAGGTCCTGTGCAAATGTCCTGAGCAACTGCGTTTGTGACAAGCAGACCCTCTACCTCTGCAGTAATTGGAGGCTGGGGGTCGAGGAGTTGCCCTGGCAACCAGACAGCCAATAGGAGCGTTGTCTGGCAGTTCTAGGGTGTGGCTTTAGGTTAGCATCCTTCCTCCCCTCCCCCCTTCCAGGAAAACACTGCAGGTGAAGATAGTGGACGATGAAGAATATGAGAAAAAGGACAATTTCTTCATTGAGCTGGGCCAGCCCCAGTGGCTCAAGCGAGGGATTTCAGGTGAGGAGTGCCAGGTGGGCTGCAGGAGAATGGGGTCCCGGGGTTGGGGGACCCTAGGGGCTCAGGCGTAGCCACTCAAGCTCGTGAGCGTGAGCCTTGCCGAGATCTGACCTCACTGTGTCCCTGTCTCTGTCTCTCCCCAGCTCTGCTCCTCAATCAAGGTGAGTGGGGTCACCTCGGCAGTGAGTGGGGGGGCCCCCTGGAGGGGGGCTGGGGGGCCGCCCAGAGTTGAGTTGGGGGCCAGGGGGAGGTAAGCAAGAGGAAGGTTGAGGCTGGGAGAGGGCTGATATGGTGTATCAGTTGGGGTTCTGGTTAGGGGTGTAGTCATGTTGGGGTGTTGGGTCTGGGGCCTGAGGGGGGCTAGAAGGGAAACAGGGGATGCTTAGGGGACTGGGGACCCGAGGTCTGTCTTCCGGTGGGGTCTGGGCTGCAGTTCAGGTAGAGGCTGTGTTCTAGACTTGTGATGGGATGAGAATTGAGTTTCACTGACATCAAGGCTGAGTTTGGGGTTTGAGGTGACTATAAAGTTTGAGGGGGGGCAGGGTCAGATGTTGGGGGTGACAGTTCATTCTAAGATGAGTGGTTTGGCGATGGAGACAGGATAGCCCTGTCACAACTGGAGTTGGCCATCAGGGCCAGGCTGCGCCACAAGCTGCTGGACAAACAGATGGACAGACTTACCTGCAAATCCCCAGCGCTCAATGCAAAGTTGCTTCTTTTTTCCCCCTCTTCTTTTTCTTTTGTGTTTTTGAGGCAGGATCTTACTACATATTCCAGGCTGGCATGGAAATTTATGGTGATCCTGCCTTGGTCTTCTGAGTTCTGGGGTTACAAGCGTGCAGTTCAGCACAAAGACAGAATGATTTTATTTTATTTTATTTTTTTGGGTCTGGTCGTGGGGCCTGAACTCTGGGCCTGGGCGCTGTCTCTCAGCTCCTCAGCTCAAGGCTAGCGCTCTACCACTTGAGCCACAGCGCCACTTCTGGCTTTTTTCTTTTTGCTTATGTGGTGCTGAGGAATTGAACCCAGGGCTTCAGGCATGCAAGGCAAGCGCTCTACCACTGAGCCATCTTCCCAGCCCAGGTTTTATTTATTTATTTATTTATTTGTGTCGGTCATGCAGCTTGAACTCTGGGCCGGGCACTGTCCCTCAGCTCTTCAGCTCAAGGCGGTCTACCACTTGAGCCACAGCGCCACTTCCAGTTTTCTGGTGGTTCATTGAAGATAAGAGTCTCATGGACTTTCCTGCCGGGACTGGCTTTGAACCATGATCCTCAGATCTCAGCCGCCTGAATAACTAGGATGACAGGAGTGAGCCACTGGCACCGGCTCCAGAGTAGCTTTTTGAATGTTCCTGCTTGTGGGTGGCTCTCTCCTGCCACATGGCCAATCCATCTTGTGACTCCACCTTGCTGTGTAGCATTGGTATTGTTTCTGTGCCCTCTGCTTGCAGCCAGTGAGGTCTCCTTCCGTGAGGTTCTGGAGGGTCAACTGTCCATCACTTATGCCTGCACTCTACTGGCTGTAACTCAGACTGGTGGCCACGCCCAGATGCAAGGAACTCTGAGAAATGTAGTCCAGCTCTTTGCCCAGGAAGCTGGTTGGAGTGAACCCATAGCTGAGTTCTCTTATAGCCAGGGTATCAGAGGCAGGAGTTGACTGAGGTCTGGGGGGCAGGTGTAGTGCTGGAATTGGGGGCAGGACCAGGGCCAGGGTTGAAGTAGAATTATGTTTGGGGTGGAGGTGGTACCGGGCTTAGAGTAAAGAAGGAAGAATCTTTGAGAAGAAAAACAATCTCCAGGCCAAGATGTGGGTGGATCTAGAGCCAGGACTTGTGACAGATCCTCCTTCCTTGCCTCAGACACATGCCAGGAAGGTTCCAGAACTTGAACATAGAGACAGACCTCTTTTCCCAAGAATGGGGCTGGGAATGACAACGCTGGTGACAATAACCCAGGAAATAACACTCACTGGAGATATGAAATTTAAGGCCCAGAGAGGCCAAGGCCCTGCCTAAGGTCACATAGCCATCTGTGTCTGAACTCCCAAACAGAACTTCGTGGGTCTCAGGGTTGTCAGAGAGATGGAAGGTCTGGTCATCATTTATTTGTGGGCGGGGGGGGGGGAGGGAGAGGTGTCAACCAACAAAATGTCCCAGAGGAGAACAACTAGCTTTTCTCCATCAAAAGGAACAGGGAGTAAAGGTATCACAGGCCCAGTTAGGCAGGCCCCCTGGCAGTCCCAACTCCCATCCTTCATGCTTCAGGAGATGGGGACAGGAAGCTGACGGCTGAGGAGGAGGAGGCACGCAGGATAGCAGAGATGGGCAAGCCAGTACTTGGGGAAAACTGCAGGCTGGAGGTCATTATCGAGGAGTCCTATGACTTTAAGGTAATTTGGGGGGGGTCATTTCATGGCTACTTCCCCAGGGAAAGCTTGGGAAGGGAGGAGCCACAATGATTCCCAGGAAGACATTGGCTCAGGCCCTTGTCCAGGGCCAGCGTCAGCACCATGGACAGTGCATGCCCTTTCTCCCTCCCCCACCTCCCCCCCACTGGCTGGGGAGGGGAGGGGACCCCCTGTGTGTGGCTGTGAGTCCCGGACCCCCCTCGTTGAGCCGCCCTGGGGGTGCTCATGGTGTGCTGGTCTCATCCCCAGAACACGGTAGATAAACTCATCAAGAAGACAAACTTGGCCTTGGTGATCGGCACCCACTCATGGAGGGAGCAGTTTCTAGAGGCAATTACGGTGAGCGCAGGTAAGTGGGGCTGGAGCTGGGGGGGGGGAGACAGAGAGGTGGGGAGGGGAAGAGGAGAGAAGAGAGACTGCTCTGGGCAAGAGGAGGGCAGGGCCTGGAAAGATGGGCTCCTCTGTTGTCATGGAAACAGTTACCCAGACACCCCAGGCTCACCATCCCAGCAGCTTAGGTTCCCCACCTCCTTGCACCTCCTGCAGACCCGCAGTGCCCCTGTGTGGCCAAAGAAAAGATGGCACATTGGGGCCAGCAAATTCCATCCTAGGGACTCACACTAGCCCTCTGGGATACAGACCCCAGCCCAACTGAGGGTCCATGCTAGAAGAGAGACTGACTCCCACAAAGGCCTCGGAGGTCAGGGTACCTTCTGGGACAGGATACCCAGTTCACTGCGGAGAGGAAGCTTGCCTCTGGGATCCAAAGAAGCCAGGTGTCTTCCGGATGGGAAATTACCAGGTATCCCAGGCCTAGAGGCGCCCCCTGCCGGCCTGCTGAAGGGGTGTCCCCTGTATCCACCTATTTCTGAGGGATCTCCTGGGCCAGCCCCATGAGGGAGAGAGGGGACAGAAGTGACCTGGACTGACGTGGCCCTCTTCTGTGGAGTCACCAGTACAAGATAGAGTTTGAAGTTTGAAGTCAGGGCATCGCTCTGGCTTGTTGACTGCTGTTCCACCACTTGAGTCATACCTCCAGCCTGGATTTTTGCTGGCTGTTTTTGGAAATGGAGTCTTGCAGACTTTTGTGCCTGAGCTTTTGAACTCTGATCCTCTAGAGTGGCTGATCCAGAATGGCTGTGATTCTAAGTGTGACCCACCAATGCCCAGTGGCAAATGCCTAGTTTGAAGCACAAAAGAGGCAAAAGGACTAGGCAAGAAGCCAGCAGAGTCTGAGTTGGAAGACTTTGGAGCAGGGCAGAGAAAAGCTCTGATGGAGACAAAGACTCCAGCCCCCTCCTCCCCGAAATGTGGCTTTCCCAGAATTCCCTGAGGGTAGCCGCAGCCATGTCCCCAGATAAAAATATCCACTCTCCCAGAATTCCTTGCAGCTAACATTGGTAAATAAGTGCTTTCCCAGAGTCCCTTGCAACAGCAGCCCTCTCACCCAGCGTGGCAATGAGAGGGAAACACAGGGTGTCCATGGCTTCTCTGACCTCCGCCAGGTCGCACTGGTTTGGTTAGAGGTGAGCTCAGCAGAAAAGTCAACCACCAGTGGCTGAATGCACATTGAAGTTGATTTTTCATTCACAAAGGCAGTGCATTGGTTCTCAGGTCAGTAAACACCATGAAACAATCCGGCGCCCCTTTGCTTTGCTTCCCTAATTCCCGACATCTGCCCTTGTGGCTATAAAATGACTGCTGCCCCTCCAGGTGTTAAGTCTTTATTTCAAGGAAGGAAGAGGAAACAAACAGGAAGAGGCAATGGGTCTGTTTTGAGTTTCCAATTTGAGTTTCTAGTTTGAGGTTGTAGCCTAGACATCATGCTTCCAGATGGAGCCATGGGGAACCAAGAAACCACAAAAACCACCAGGCTAAACATTTACACATCCAAGCTTTGATTTCTTTCTCAAGCCAAGTGGCTTAGTAAGCTCAGGGGCCAGGCGCTGGTGGCTCACGCCTGTAATCCTAGCTACTCAGGAGGCTGAGATCGGAGGATGGCGGTTCAAAGCCAGCCCAGGCAGGAGAGACCGTGAGACTCCTATCTCCAATAAACCACCAGAAAACCGGAAGTGGCGCTGTAGCTCAAGTGGTAGAGTGCTCGCCTTGAGCTGAAGAGCTGAGGGACAGCGCCCAGCCCAGAGTTCAAGCCCCACGGCCGACAAAAAAGAAAGAAAGTGGAAGAGGGCCCTCACTAAGGAACCCCTGCCTGCTTGGCCAGGAGGCGGCCTCTACAAAGCAGCTCTGTGACTGGGTGGCTTTGCAGGTGGGCATAGCCTTTTGCAAGTGGGTGCCATTCGTTTGGTGGACATGGTTTTGCTGGTGGGCATGACAGGGTGAGGCCACTGAGTGGGCGTGGTTTGTGGTGGGTGTGGCTTGCAGTGGGTGTGGTTTGTGCATAGTTAGGGCCACCCACATTTCTGAGCATCCTTCCACATGCAATGCTTTGTGCATACGTGAGCTCACGGGTTCTCTTCATCATCTCCTACTTATCAGCCAGGGATGAGGTCACCACTATTTGCGCTTTCATTTCATACAAGTTACTGCAGGCCCAAGCAGGTCAGATTAGACCACAATGGATGACAATTTCTCAGGATAAAGGAATCACTCACATAGCCCAAAACATGATACACTATTCCCACATCAGGAAAATTAGGACTTTAAAGAAATCCTGTGTGTGTCTGTCTGTCTGTCTGTGTCTGTGTCTGTCTGTGTGTATGTATTATTACCATACTGGATGAGATGGCCACTGTTGCAAGGGACTGTGGGAAAGCACATATTTAGCATTGCTAGCTACAGGGAACTCTGGGAAAGTGGATATTTTTATCGGGGGACATAGCCATTGGTAGCCTCAAGGGGTTCTGGGAAGGTGACTAATTTTAGCTGGGTGTTCGTCTCTTGCTGTGGGAGTTCTGGGAGAGCAAGAACAGTTACTTAGTATGTGGCAAACGTTAACCACAGTGAATCTGATGACTCAATATTTCTAGCTGTGGACATGGCTTTCAATAGCTGTAGAAGCTTCTGGTAAAAGAGCTATTTTTAGCCAAGAACAGGCCAGACAGGGATCCCTGGAAGCTAGATATTTTTAGCAAGGTGTTAAAGGCCTCTTTGCACCTCAAGGTATTTTGAAAAAGTAAATATATTTACCTGGGATCAACACTCTCTAGCCGCAAGGGATTCTGGGAAGGTGGGTTTAGCTGCCCACACAGCCACACCTAGCTGCAAGGGACTCCAGGAAAGCAATTGGCTTGGTGAGTCTCAACTACAATGGGGCCTCTGTAGGCCACAGAGGAGGCACAGTATGTGCCCCAGCTGGGTCATTTGCCCACAGGGGACGAGGAAGAAGAAGAGGATGGGTCTCGGGAGGAGCGGCTGCCATCCTGCTTTGACTACGTGATGCACTTCCTGACGGTGTTCTGGAAGGTGCTGTTTGCCTGTGTGCCCCCTACCGAGTACTGCCACGGCTGGGCCTGCTTTGGCGTCTGCATCCTGGTCATCGGCCTGCTCACAGCCCTCATTGGGGATCTCGCCTCCCACTTTGGCTGTACTGTGGGCCTTAAGGACTCTGTCAACGCTGTGGTCTTCGTGGCCCTGGGCACCTCTATTCCTGGTAACACCTCAGGGTTGCTGCTCAATGGGGCAGGGTGTCAGAGAAGCCTGGCAGGAGCAGCAGAAGGGAAAGGTTTCATAGAAGAAAGGTGGGAGCTGGGTGTGGTGGCACCTGCCTGTAATCTCATCCACATAGGAGGCAGGGGTAGGAGGATCAAGATATGGAGGCCATCCCAGGTAAAGTTTTCTGCACCTTGTCTCAAAAACAAAATATGAAGAAGCTAGCCAGGTGCCATTAGCTCACGCCTGTCATCCTAGCTACTCAGGAAGCTGAGATTTGAGGATCACGGTTCAAAGCCAGCCCATGCAAGAAAGTCCATGAGATTCTTATCTCCAATTAACCACCAGAAAACCAGGAGTGGCGCTGTGGCTCAAGTGGTAGAGCACTAACCTTGAGTTGAAGAGCTGAGGGACAGTGCCCAGGCCCTGAGTTCAAGTCCCATGACTGACAAAAAAAAAAAAGAAGTTGGGCATTAGTGGCTTATGCCTGTAATCCTAGCCTCTCCGGAGGCTGAGATCTGAGATCGCAGTTTGAAGGGGCCCATAGCTCTGATTTCTAGAAAGCAGGCTGTGGGTCCTGCAAACACAGACCATGGGCTAGAAGAGAGCCAACGTTGGAAAGCAGGTGGTGGGGTAGTACTGAGTGGGGGGGGGTCCCCTAGGAGATACAGGAAGTATGTAGTGGTGCTCACTAGTGCAGACAGCTGTGGAGAGCAGGCTCACTGGTCCCCAGTGGAGTAAGTCCAAGGATGGTGGTGGACTTTGTCTCTGGGCCTGGGGTCAGGGCCTAGAGTCCCCACTGGAAATCAGGGTGCACTCCAGGCACACCGCCCCCACCCCACCCCGACCCGCGTGTCCTGTTCCCACAGACACATTCGCCAGCAAGGTGGCGGCGCTGCAGGACCAGTGCGCAGACGCGTCCATCGGCAACGTGACCGGCTCCAACGCGGTGAACGTGTTCCTGGGGCTGGGCGTGGCCTGGTCGGTGGCCGCCGTGTACTGGGCGGTGCAGGGCCAGCCGTTCGAGGTGCGCACCGGCACCCTGGCCTTCTCCGTCACCCTCTTCACCGTCTTCGCCTTCGTGGGCATCGCCGTGCTCTTGTACCGACGCCGGCCGCACATCGGGGGCGAGTTGGGTGGCCCGCGGGGACCCAAGCTGGCCACCACCGCGCTCTTCCTGGGCCTCTGGTTCCTCTACATCCTCTTCGCCAGCCTCGAGGCTTACTGCCACATCAGGGGCTTCTGAGCCTCCCACCCCGTCCTCCCTCGCGCAGGGGACTCGGCTGCACCTGCTCTCGGACCCTGGGCTCCTGTAGACTCAGCCCGGGCCCTGGGACTCAGCCCCTTCATCCTCCAGAAACTTGGCCTCCTGGGGGGGTAGGGTGGGATGGGGGAGAGCAAGCTTCCTGTCCCACCACCCTCCCTCCCCCCCCCTTCCCAGAGCTATCCAGCCCATCCCCTGAGAAAATCCCCCTAGAACATCTGCAGCTCTCTCCAGGGGACTCCTGGAGGGAGGAGCCAGCGCAGGGTGGCATTGATCCTCACCCTACCTGCCCCCAACCCTCAGGGAACCCCAGTCAGCCCTGGGGGAAGGGCGAGGGGGGGTGCGGTGCAGGCTGCAGACCTCCCCTGGCCTGGAAGGAGGGAAGAAGTTTGGGAGTCTGTCCCCAGGCTCAGCTGGAGGAGGCAGGTTTTGAACCCACAACTTATCACATTCCAGCGCCCCTTCGTGCCCCCCCCCACCTCTGAGGGTCCCCACCACGCCTTGGAGGAAGGAGCCTGCGGGTGTATATAGTGTGTTTGGGGAGGGGGGACATGGGAGGGTGCATGTCTTTGGGAAGGGAGGGTAACACACTTTTGGGGAGGGGGCTGGGGATCAAAGCGGGGGGGAGGTCCACCCGGTCTCCCTCGACAATCTAGAAGGTTCGTTTTGCCCTCAGTGCCAGCCAACCCGGGCAGGACCCTCCAAGAAGACACCGAGGGTCTCAGAGGACCAACGCAACAAGCCAGCAAATGCTGCCACATCTCTGCCTGCGGGGCGGGGCGGGGTGGGAGGGCGGGGTGGGGTTGGACCTGGGTCTGGGTGGGCATTTTTAACTTCAGAGGCCGCCCATCCAGCGGTAGGCCATCCGTGTTTTCTTACTGTTGTTTGATGTTTCCCGCCTAAAGGACATGTTTGGGAAGTGCTTGTCCATTCCTAGTCGCCCGAGGATGACCCTCCCGTCCCCATAGCCTCCGCTTCCCCCCCCCCCGCCCCCAGGTCTTCAGCATTCTGTCGTCACTCGTGCACCAGCCCCAGCTTCCCGGGCCTGCTTCCGCTCCCTTCTCCACCATAGCTCGTCAGCACCAGTATCTGTCTTCTCCGGTTTCTGTACAAAGTTGCCATAAAAACTTTGAAAATCGGCCCGAGAACGTCTTCCCCTGGCAAGCTGGGACTCCGGAGCGGTGACGAACGAGGTCTCTGAGCTGTGCACAACCGCAACCCTAGACAGGACAGTCGGCGGCTCTGCGGGACACGCCCACGCCGGCTGGCCACGCCCACACCACCAGCCAGGAGCGTCTAGCCACGGCCCCTCCCATCAGCCAAGAGCCTTCACTGGCCACGCCCCCACGTCCATCAGCCAAGCTCTCCCATTAGCCACGCCCCTCCACCAGCGCGCTCCCCCATTCTCCACGCCCCTGTTCCTCAGCCACCAATTCGCCCACATCCTAGAGCATCCTGGCAACCACAGAAAACGGGCCTTACTTTGCCTGAGCCACACACAGAGCGCTGGGGTTGGGGTTTCCTCAGTGGTGACAAGGATGGAGCCAATTAAGACCTTATCAGCCATATAGAGGCACTGGGAGTTCATTTCCACAGCAAAGGGGAGATTGGGGAGGAATTAAAAGTGCAGACAGTTGATGGCGTCTGATTTGTATTTTCAAACGTTCCTCCAGCCGCTTAAGCGATGGACCAGGGGCCCAGGCCACAGAGAGGGTGGGGGCTGGTTGGGGTGACAGGAGAGGAGGGTAAAAAGGGGTGGGGAGGGGACATGTCAGACCTGACAGGAAGGAGGGTGTGTATCCGAACAGAGAAGCCAGGGACAAGTTGGTGGAAGGACCATGCAGGAGGGCTGGGGACTTGCCACAGCCTGGAGCTTAGGGGGTAACAGAGGAGGGGGTAGAGAAGTGAGCACCCAGACTTGACCCTGTGCCCATCCAGGACAGAGGTGGAGAGGCAGTAGGTGTGCAAGAGAAAAAAGAGGGGAGCATCTTGCCCACCATGCATGCCAAGAGAGCTTGCAGGGGTGGAGACACCCTACTCTAGACCCTGTGCTGAGCTAAATCTAACACCAACCCTGTGGATTAGGGGAGGAACAGGAGCAGGTATGGTGGTACAAGCCAGCTACACAGGACACTGAGGCAAGAGGATTGAGTTGGAAGTCAGCCCAGGCAAAGCTGGGGAGACCCTGCCTCAAGAGAAATATATGAACAAAGCAGTTGTGGGGAGGCGGGCTCAAAGGATAGTGTTTGCCTAGCCCGGGCAAAGTCCTGAGTCCCATCCCCATTACCTACCCTCCAAAATAAAGGAAACTGAGGTTCTGAGAGATAAAGCAGTTTGTCCTACATCCCCAGGAAGTAAGGCCAGAGATGGGACAGGTTGAGGCTCAGGGAGCAATAGAAAGACATGGGGTAATAGCAGGAAAATGGGCGGGTCTAGGACAGGAAGGAGAGACAGCAGAGGGACAGAGAGGTAAGAACCACGACAGATTCTTTCCCTACTTTCCAGAGGACACACAGTGCCAGGGCTAGCAAGGGGTGCCTTTAGTAGCCCCACAGGTCGCTTCATATAGTGACTGTCTTTAGCTTGCCTCAGTTTCTGTTTCTGAGAAATGGAGTGATAATGCTGTCTGAGGTGCTGGTGTCCCAACTGTGGGCTCACTTCCATAGTCTCTCTCTCTCTCTCTCTCCTGTCATTCTAGAACAAGCAGCCTCAAAAGACACAAAAATGAAACTAAATGCAGTAGCTTATGCTTATCTATAATCCTAGCTTCTCAGGAAGCAGAGATCAGGACAATTAGTTCCTTTCCAATAGTGTCCATAGGGCAGATTGCATCATTGCTCATTCAATTCTGTTTTCCTTCCCCATTCCTGCCCTTTTGAAGTCACAAGTGGCTCTGTGACTTGTCTCAGCCAAGGAAACGAGGCTTTAAGGGATGTGTGAACCCCCTTCTGGGTAGATGGCTGGCAGGTGAGGTAGCACACACCTGTAATCTCAGCCCTGGGGAGGCTAAAACAGAATGATTGCTAACTCTAAGACAGCCTGGGCTGCATAGTGAGACCTTGTCTCAACCACAGTTACAAGATACAAGCCAGGCACTGGTGGCTCACACCTGTAAATCCTAGCTACTCAGGAGGCTGGGATCTGAGGACCACAGTTCAAAGCCAGCTCAGGCAGGAAAGTCCCTGAGACTTTTATCACCAATAAACCACTCCGAAAACCAGAAGTGGTGCTGTAGGTCAAGTGGTAGAGTGCTCACCTTGAGCTGAAGAGCTGAGGGACAGCGCCCAGGCCCAGAGTTCAAGCCCCATGACTGACAAAAATAAATTAATAAATAAAATAACAAGAGGATACCAGGCTTTCTTTTTATCCATCTGAGGTGGGAGGGACTATTTGTTACTGCAGCACAGCATCGCCTGTACTGATCTATGTGTTCTGCCCTTACAAAGTGCAGAAATCAACTTCCAATGGGTGTGTGTGCCCAAATCCAGACAGGTGCTGAGGGAACCATCTAGAGGAGTCCTTGGCATCTCCCAAGATACCTGGTACCTTCTCCTTGCTCTCCCCCTCCCCCCTTTCTCCCTGTGAGGAGGAGGGAAGTTAAAGTCAAGGCTAATGAATTACAAAGGGCAAGGGGTGTCAGCAGAGGAGGCCAGGGCAGGGCTGGAGGGAAGAGGCCCAGAAAGAGGAGGAAGCAGAGGCCAATGAAGCAAGATCTGGGGACCAGGGAAGCCCCAGAGATACACAGAGACAGAGACAGAAACAGGAGTCTGAGAAGCTGGGAGAGAGGCGGAGGCAGAGGGCAGGGCTGCACCCCTGCACCTGAGCACAAAGCCAATGCGCCACACAGATATGGAGAGACAACAACGTGACAGTGATGGAGGGGAGGGGGGAGAGAAGGAGGAAGGAGAGCAGCTGGCAGAGGAAAGTGGACCCCGGCAGAAAGGACAGAGGCGGAGGAGGAGAAGCTGGGATGGGGGAGGGATGATATGGGGCAGGGGAGGGGCTGATGGTTTGGCTCCCGGTGACAAATGAGCCACCTGAGTCACTGGTTACCATGATGGATGGCCAGGCCAGCAGGCTAGGGGGGCGGGGGTGGGCACAGGGGCCCCCAAGATAAATGTTTCCTTCTCCTGGAGCCAGGCCAGTGCAGGGGAAGACCTCGGGCACAGGACCATTTTGCTGGCAAAGGGCCTAGCAATGGGTATAGGGGGGAGCCCAAGAGTCAAATGTGGGGGTGAAGAAAGGCACAAAGAGCGAGTGAGAGAGAAGCAGAGGAGATCTGTGAGAGGCCAGATGGACCAACAGACACATTCCAAGCAGACAGATGAGACAGAGGAAGAATGCCATCGTCCCCTGTATTCTAGATGGTGGGGACAGCCATCTTGAAGAAGAGCAGGAGAGGGCAGAACCACTGACAGAGACAGAAGGGCGAAGTCCAGAGCCTTTGCTCCCCCCAGCATGACACACATAGCCCAGGAGTCTGGGCTGGCGAGGAAGCTGCAGGGAGGCCTTGAAGAAGGGGATGGAGGCCTGGCCTAGGGCATCCCACCTGGAATATCGGGGTGAGTGGGGTGGGCACCACCCATCTGAGCTGCACACACAGGAAGCGGCCCTCAGAGAGTGTTCACACTTGCCACCTTGGGGCACAGGCCTTTCACGAGCAATGGCAAAGCCTGGACAGCTCCAGCACCAGGCATGCCAGGGAAAATCCAGCTGTGTAAAGAGGGGCATCTGGGGTGAGGAGGCCCAGGAGAGGAGGCCCGAGAGAGGAGGCTGGGGCTCAGGAAGGGACAGCAGGGGTGTGTGTATGTATGTGTGTGTGTGTGTGTGTGTGTGTGCATCACATGCACATACTCTGTGTGCACATGTGAGAGCACATGTGTGCACGTGTATCTCCATGCATTGTGCACAGGAGTGCGTGGGGGTGGATGGATGCCCACACGTGTGTGTGGGTGTTTTGCACATGTGTAGGTGGTGCCAGCACATTATGTACATGGGTGGATGCGTGTGTAGTGTGCGCCATGCCTGTGAGTGCATGGGTGTGTATGCACACATGTGCACATATGCATGCATGTGGGGAGAAAGAGAGAGAGAGAGATTGAGTCCCAGAGAGCAGCAGCGCCACCTCCTCCCTCCTCAATTTCTCTCCTCCCTGTCCAGCCTCCCTCCCTCCCATTAATTACAAAGATTTATACCCAGCTCGCCCTTGTATGGGGCCAGAGAATCCTCCTGAGTTCTCAGCCAGGACAGAAATAGCCCTGCAGTCCTTATGGGCCTCTCCACCCACCCCTCCCCCTTTGCACCCCTCACCTCCCACACCGGCTTGTGGGGACAGGATGCTTCCTTTGTTCAGAGGATGTTGCACAGCTGTCCAGGACAGAGAGGTTCAGCGCACACCTAGACCCCAAGACACAGATGCAGGCTGGGGCTGCAGGCTGCTGCCCCCCGCCCCCCTGCTTCCTGAGTCTCTACTGAGGGCAGGCAGGGCAGCCAGATGAGCTTTGTATCTTTAATTAAAAAGTGATTCAAATTAATTTTCTGCTCCAGAACCCCTATCTAGGGGGCGGGGATGATGAGGGGACTCTCCAGATCTCTTTTCCTCCATCAGCCTTAAAGGCCCAGCACCTTCCACAAGAGGATCAGGGAGGAGGGAGGGGGAAAGAGTGGGGGGGTGAAGAAGGGAGGACTGGGGAATCAGCCACAGCTCCTCAGAGGCCTGACACCTCCCCTAGAGCAAACCCTTCCCATCTCTAGGACCTGGCTACAGAGCCCCAGCTGGCCTGGAACTCATCAATCCCCTGACTCTGCCTTCCAAGGGCTGAGATTAAAGACAAGCACCAAGACACCCAGCCAGCCTGCCTCTTCTTACCCCCCCCATCAGCTGAGAAGGGGAAGGGCCTGTGCGGGATGGGTGCAGACTCTCGATTTAGGGGATACCCTGGAAATGGCTGCAGGCCAGGGTCAGCAGAGTGTCCAGGGCTTCAGGGGACAGAGTCAACTCAATAGTTGCACAAGTCTGGACACGTGACTAAAATAGTTTACAAGCTTGTCCTGGGAACTGGTAAGAACTGCGCACCTCCCCCTCCGTGTACCCCAAAACACGGTTCACCTAGTTCCAGAGATTCCACAGGCTCCCTGAGAGCGCTGAGGACACTGGAAGCAAAGAACCTTCTAGAAGGCAGGGGTCAAAGATGAGCAGAAAGACATAGGTGAACATGTTTCTGTGCATAGAGACACACGGACAGGACCAAAACCCACACTGTCCTTGACAGAATATGCCAAGTCAACAAGAGATCATAAAACCTAGGAGGGGGTGAGGGAGGGAGGAAGAGAGAAAGGAAAAGGAAGGCGGGGAGGGAAGAGGGAAAGGGAAGAGAGGAGAAGAGGGGAAAGGAGAGGAGTAAACGAGGGAGGACCAGATGGAGGGTGGAAGCTGCAAGGAGCAGACAGGGGGTCCTGGGAACCGGAGATACAAAACATGGGGGGGGAGGAGAATCGAGGAGAGGGAGGGAGAAGGCAAGAAGGGATAAAAGTAGTGGGGGAGAGAAAGAAGGGGTAGCCCCTCAATGCCCCGACCCACCACATCTCCCTCACCCCCTTCCTCTCTCAGGCCCAGTCTCCAATACAATCCTTAAGCCCCGCCCCTCTCCACCCCACCTCCTAAGTGTCACTTCCTTAATCAAGCCCTATCCCGCAATCCGCCCCAACCCTTTATAACGCCCCGCCCGCCACGCCACGCCCTCTTTATGTCCTTTAAGCCACGCCCTCTCATACCTCGCTCCTCTCATGCCACGCCCCCTATGCCTCCCTTTTCTCACTCCCTGCCCTCCTCACGCCCCTCCCCTCTCATGCCCCGCCCCTCACGCCCCTCCCCTATCACTCTCCGTCCTCCTCACGCCCCTCCTCTCTCACGCCCCGCCCTCCGCATGCCCCTCCCCTCATGCTCTGCCCTTCTCACGCTCCTCCCCTCTCACGCCCCTCCCTCCTCACGCCCCGCCCTCCTCACGCCCCTCCCCTCGCACGCCCCGCCCTCCACACGCCCCTCCCCTCGCACGCCCCGCCCTCCTCCCTCGCCGGCGGCCGGCGGACAGCGGGTTAAGCATCTCAGCGGAGGAACTTCCGGATGTGACCACAGAGGGAGAGGAGAGGAGCGCGGAGCGGAGTGCGGAGCCCCGGCACCGCCGGCCGCCGCCCCCGCCCGCGCCCCGGGTCCCGATCTTACCCTCGCGGGCAGCTTCGCTTCTGCACCCCGGGGCCGGGCCGGGGTCGAGACGGGGCGCGGCGACCCCAGCCTGCGCCTTCACTGGCCGCGATGAGCCCGGGGCTGTGACCCGCCCGCCCCACCTCTGCCCGGCCTGCCAGGCTCCGCCGCCGGGAGGCCGGGCTCCAGCCCATGGCCCGGAGGGTAGGTGGGCGGCCCCTCCTCCCTGCGCGCCCCTGCGCCCCCGACCCTCGGTCCCGGGGGTCCCCATCTCAGGCCCTTCACCCCTCACCCTTCCCTTGCTGCCCCCCCAGGCTCCCTCTCTTGGAGACCCGCACCCAGGGTGAGGGGTGGGGACTGGGCCAGGAGGGGGGGCGCGGGTCAGGGGGTGGGAGATGGGGAGGAGGCAACACCCACTTTGGCTGGGGGCCCCATTCGGTGGGCGGGCGACTAGCAGCAGGGAGCAGCCGCATTCAACTTCGGGGTTCTGGAGAAGTTCAAGAGGGGGTTGGAGGAAAGAGAGAGCGACAGGGAAGGAGGGGGCCAGACCCGGCAGAGGGGGGTGGGGGTCCCCAGTCCACCCAGGCCTCGTCCCGCGGTCTCGGGACCTCCTGGCTTCCTCGCCCTGGGCCTGGTGCTGGAGAGCGCCCTGTGGCTCTGGCGCGTGGGCCTGTCTCTTTGGGGCCCTTGGCCCACGTGTGTTTGGGGGTTGATGCTGGTTACTGAATGGGTGTTCAGCTCTGCTCAGTGTCTCATTCGTTCATGCTGGGGTATGGGGGGGGGTTCTGCTGACCTGTTGTAGATCATCATATGTGCACATGTGACTGGATTGTATATGGCTGGGGGGAGGCGGCGAGTATAGCGGTGTGCGGCAGGTAGAGTGACAAGATGCCAATATGCATGACTGACAGACACGCTTGTGACCAGCGAGCCTGTGCGCATGTGTGCGTGTCTGTATACAAACAATGGGGAGGTGGCCCCTCTTGTCTCTCCTTGTCTCCCTCGTCTCTTGGTCTTTAGATCTCTCCACCCTCTCCTCTCCCTGAGCCCCTGACCTGTCTGGGGCTCTTCCTCTGGGTCCTCTTGTCACGCTTGCCCTTCCCCCCCCCCCTCCCAGCCACAGGAGCAGGAAGGACCCACGCAGACAGCTCCGTAGAACACAGGAGGCTGTGGACAGAAAGAGCGTCTGTGGGTGACAGGGTAGAGGGCTGAATCTTGGGGTGCTGACTCCCCAGAGCTCCTCCTTTTGCTTCCCCCCAGTACGACGAGTTATCCCACTACCCAGGCCTCGTGGACCGCCCGGCAGCCTTGGGTGGCTTCCCCCAGACAGCACCCCCGGCCTCTGGTCCCTACGGCCCACATCGGCCTCCCCAGCCCCCACCCCCAGGCTTGGACAGCGAAGGGTTGAAGAGGGAGAAGGACGAAATCTATGGGTGAGTGAATCTGGGGCCCAGATGATGTCTCCAGGCACCCCTCTTCCCTCCATCTCACTGTGTGTCCCAAGGCTGGCCTTGATTTTAAGAGTCTCTCCATTAAGCCAGGAGCCAGTGGCTCACGCCTGTAATCCTAGCTACTCAGGAGGCTGAGATCTGAGGATCATGGTTCAAAGCCACCCCAAGCAGGAAAGTCCCTGAGACTCTTATCTCTAGTAAACCACCAGAAAACTGAAGGTGGCGCTGTGGCTCAAGTGGTAGAGCGCTCGCCTTGAGCTGAAGAGCTGAGGGACAGCACCCAGATCCAGAGTTCAAGCCCCACAACTGACAAAAAAAAAAAAAAAAGTCCTGCCTCAGTGTCCAAGTGCTGGTACTACAGGCATGTGCCACCTCTCTCTGCCTGTCTCTCTCCCACTCAGTCCATCACCCCTCCTAAACTCTCTGCTTCCCTCTCCAGACACCCACTCTTCCCTCTGCTGGCCCTGGTCTTTGAGAAGTGTGAACTGGCCACCTGCTCACCCCGCGATGGCACCAGGGCTGGGCTGGGCACCCCTCCCGGAGGAGACGTCTGCTCCTCAGATTCCTTCAATGAGGACATCGCTGCCTTTGCCAAGCAGGTGAGTGGCCCTGCTTGAGCCAGAGGGGCGATGGGCAAGAGAGGGGCTCGCATCAGATGCCTCTTGTTCCTTCCCAGATCCGCTCCGAGAGGCCACTGTTCTCCTCCAACCCAGAGCTGGACAATCTGGTGAGGACCAGGCCGTCCCCACCGCTGCCCTCCACACCCTGGCGTTGGCTGTGACGGGGGAGGGGGGTGGGGAAGAGGAGAGAGGGGGGGGGAAGAAGCAGAGGATGAAGGAGAGAGACATATGTTGGCTTCTCTATTTCCTTGAGTCCCAAGCTCCCATGAGGATGTCCCTGTGCGCCCAGCCTTTTCGCAAAGGCTTCTGGGAAACGGGGCTTGCTGGTGTAGGGTGGGGTCCGCACAGAGGGTGGGCAGGTGACATGTAGGGCTTGGCACTGCATAAATGCACCTCAGCCCTTTTCTTTCCCTCACTCTCGGTCTCCATCTCTGCCCTCGGCTCCTCCATACCCATTGTCCTCATCTGCTTTGTCCCCCTGTCCATCTGTCACTCTGTCCCCATTTGCCACTTGGGCCTTGTCTGTCATTCTGTCTTCCTGTTCCTCTGTCTCCCTCTCTCCCCAGATGATCCAGGCCATCCAGGTGCTTCGCTTCCACCTGCTGGAGCTGGAGAAGGTGAGGGCTTCTGGCCTGCCCCATGTCACCTCTTACCCCTCGCCCCTGTGCACCCCAGCCCTGGCCCCCTGGGTGCCCCCCCCAGTACCCCGGTGCCCCCCCAGGTCCACGACCTGTGCGACAACTTCTGTCACCGCTACATCACCTGCCTCAAGGGGAAGATGCCCATCGACCTGGTCATCGAGGACCGGGACGACGGCTGCAGGGAGGACCTGGAGGACTACTCCTGCACCAGCTTCCCAGACCAGGTGGGCAGGGCGCTGGACGTTGCCTGGCAACTGGGGCTGGGCCTGGCCCGCCATGGGGCATGCATTGAGCATACTGCAAACATACTGCAGCCATACAGCAGCGTCTCTCCTCCCCCACCCCCACCCCAGTGTGGAAATGGGATCCACAGAACACCAGGTACTGCTGGGAAAACTCAGATACGGTCACACTGGACTCCAGGACAGCAAACACACACACACACACACACACACACCGTAACCCTAACCCCGATTGCTTCTAACTCCACTCATGGAACAGCCGGCCCAGCATCTGCCAGGGCCTGTCTAATTCATCCGCACAGACTTAGAAAATAGTCCTACAGGCTCAGCTAAGCAACAAGGTCAAGTGGAAGGGCAGGGGGTATGGTGACACATGCCTGTAATCCCAGCATTCATAGAGATAGGAGGATGAAGGGTTCAAGACCATTTTGGTCTACCAACCACAATCTGTCTCAAAAAAAAAAAATACATACATAAAACCTTCCAATGCCAAGATCACATGGCAGTCAGTCTCCGTTACACTCGCCCTGCAATTTTGTTGACTTAAGACCCTGGACACAATCACAGCAACCACACAGGATACAGCTGTGTGGAGTGGACAGACAGCGGGAAGCCATGGGGACCAGTCAGGCCAGGCAATCACAGTTCCACACAGCCAGCAGTGACCCAGCATAGCATAAAGTCAGACTCGGACAGCAGCTCTGGGTCAGAAGCACAGGCCTTGCAGAGGCAGATACACAGGCCTTCAATCACCCACTGCCTGGCTCCAGGACCACCACCCACCCTGCAGCCACGCCCTCCCCGGGGACAGCCACTGCGTCCCAGGATCTCAAGTGAAAACACCCACACTCAGGTCACATTCAGTAATGTGCCAGTGGACACTGTCAGGACAGAGCCTGGAGTTGTGACACAGGTCTGTAGTCCCAGTGCTCAGGAAGCAGAGGTAAGAGGACCTTGGGTTCCAGGCCAGCTGGGGTAAAATGAGCCTGCCTGAAAATAAAATACAAATACAATAGGGCTGTAGTAGCCAGGCGCTGGTGGCTCACGCATGTAATCCTAGTTACTCAGGAGGCTGAGATCCAAGGATCACAGTTCAAAGCCCCGAGTAGAAAACTCTTATTTCCAATAAACCACCAGAAAACCAGAAGTGGTGCTGTGGCTCAAATAGTAGAGGGCTTGCACCTAGGCCCTGAGTTCAAGCCCCACCACTGCCAAAACAAACAAACAAAAAAGAGCTTTGGCATAACTCAAGCAGCAGAGAACTTGAGGCCCTTGGGTTCATTGCCAATAAAAGAGACAGAGACCAAGACAGAGACTTAGGCACAGCCCTAGTTCCTTTATATGCAAGCCGGAGACACTACAATCACGGAAAACACGGAATTTGAGCTTCTTATTTATTTATTTTTCTTCTCCTTGAGTCCAGTGCAAACTCATTTAGCAGCAAAATCTGACCTGAACTAATGAGAGACTATTTATAGTCGTTATTTATTCCACTCAGTTAAATATTCATCCACTTTGCTACAGGAGTGTTAATGAGTCTGATGTGGTCGGCTGGGGTGGGGGTGGAGCCGGGCATGGCTGCCCTCCACCAGCTTCACCTGATCCTCAAACACTTCTGCTCCCAGGGTGATCGCTGTGGGCCTCAGTCTCATTGACTGCCCCTCCCCCCCCATACCAATTCATGCTCTATTTCCCTGTTGAGAACTCAGGCACAGAGAGGTGAGATGACTCATCCAAGATCACACAGCCAGGAAAGAGGAGATCTAGTAAAAATGTGTGTGCGTGCATGCACGTACTTGCACTGCTCCTAAGGCTTGAACTCAGGGCCTGCATGTGCTTCCTTTTTGCTCAAGACTGGCACTCTACCACTTGAGCCACCGCAGCACTTCCAGCTTTTTGATGGTTAATTGGAGATAAAAACCTCATTTATGGGCCTCCCTGGATCTCAGCCTCTGAGTAGCCAGGATTACAGGTGTGAGCCATCAGCATGGTTCCCCCAAGTCTTCATGTTGATGTTCAGCTCTCTTGTTTTCTAGAATAATACATGGATCAGAGACCATGAAGACAGCGGGTCTGTACATCTGGGGACCCCAGGTCCATCCAGTGGGGGCCTGGCCTCTCACAGTGGGGACAACTCCAGCGACCAGGGTGAGAAACTTGAGGGGTGCAGAGAAAACCTGGGAACATGGGTTTGAGGATTGAAGTTAGACCCCAAGGAGGACTTCCATAGAAACAGCTGAGGTGTGGTTTCTTGGGTGACAGACTGGGGCCCGCTCTTCACTATCCACTGCAGTATGCCTATCATTCCCCCTCCCCCTAGGAGACGGGCTGGACACAAGTGTGGCCTCTCCCAGTTCTGGGGGAGAGGACGAGGAGCTGGACCAGGAGCGGCGGCGGAACAAGAAGAGGGGAATCTTCCCCAAGGTGGCCACAAACATCATGAGAGCCTGGTTGTTCCAGCACCTATCGGTGAGCCCAACGCCCAGGGGGGAGAGGGAGGCGGCTGCCCACGATCCCTGAGATGGGAGATGGGGGAAAGGGTCAGACCTCAGCAGTACCTGTGTGCCAGGTGCTCCCCACCCGCCCCCCATCCCAATGTACCCCGTGAAGGAGGGAGTCAATATTGTTTCCACTGTGCTAATGGGGAGACTGGAGACCAGGGGGGTCAGGGGATGCGCTCAAAGTCACACCGCCAGATGTGGGTTCAAATGCAGGTTGTGTGGCCTCAGCCACCCCACCACCACACAGCTTTATGGAGAGAGCTAGCTATATGAAGACCGGGGAGACTGATGGGGAGACATGGGGTTGTCCCAATCAGTGAGATAGCCGGCAGAGAGACTGAGTCACGGGGTAGGGGGAGACGCCGATGGATTATGGGAGAGGAGCAGGGGGTCTCTGACACAGGGCCTCTGCTGCCAGCCTCCACCTTGCTGGCCTCCCGGGGAGCTGGCCAATTAGGCCCTAAGAGCTGGAAGCAGCGGGGGAGAGGGGCTTGCGGTGTGATCATGACCTGAGCTTGGCTCTGGCAAAGCCTGGGAGACCCAGGGGCAGATCTGGGCCCCCGAGCCAGCTGGCTGCTCCATCCGGGGCTCCGGCACACCAGGCCGGAACTTGGGGATCAGATACGGCCTGGCAGGAGGGTGACTCTTGCTGGTGGCCGCAGCACCCGTACCCCTCGGAGGAGCAGAAGAAACAGTTGGCCCAGGACACGGGCCTCACCATTCTGCAAGTGAACAACTGGTGAGCCAGGACCCGGACTGAGGATGGGCGGGGCCGGGGCCGCGGTGGGCGGAGCTTAGACGGAGGGTGGGTGGGGCCTGGGCCGAAGTAGGGCCGGGCCGCGGGTGGGCGGGGCCGACACCGAGGGTGGGCGGGGCCCGGGCCGAAGCATGGCCCGTCCGCGGGTGGGCGGGGCCGAGCCTGAGGGCGGGGCCGCTCCGGCGCTGTCCGTGGTGCTGAAGGAGGCCGCGGGCCGCGCGTTCCCCGGCCGCCTAAGCTCTCGGTGGATCCGGGCTCGGTCTTCACACCCCGTGCCGTGTCCACGGCCGCTTCCAGGTTCATTAACGCCCGGAGACGCATCGTGCAGCCCATGATCGATCAATCCAACCGCACAGGTACAGGGTGGGCGTGATCAGGGCATCAGAGGTGGGTCCTCCCTCCTCCGGCCCCACCCCCGGCTCAGCCCGCACCCCTGACCCCCTCCGCAGGGCAGGGCACAGGCTTCAGCCCCGAGGGCCAGCCCGCGGCCGGATACACGGAGATTCAGCCGCAGCAGCACCCGACCGTCCGGCAGCCCGGTAAGGCCTCGCCCTCGGGCCTAGACACGCCCACAGTCTGGTCCCCCAACTCCTTCCAGGAATAATTCAGTGGGCCTCTCGCACTCAGCCCACCACCACCTTCTTAAAGGGCCTGCGCCTGCTTAAAACATGACTCGGTCTATCCTGGTAGAGGGATCCGGGGTGAAGAAAGGGTGGGAGTTACAGATATCTTGGGTAGGAATACCACCAACTCCTCTCTTGTCCTCCAGGATCGGCGGGGATGAGTGTGAACTTGGAAGGAGAATGGCACTATCTATAGAGGCTGGACTCATTCAGGAGACGGTGAGTGGCCGGCTCCCTAGACTCCAGTCATTCCCCAAAGGCAGGGTCTCTTAAGATTTGGTGGAAGATGGGTCATCCCCTCGCCTATCACTCCACCCCTTCCCATCCATTCATACATCTGTGCATCTGTATGTTCTACCCACCCACCAATCCACCATCCCACCCAGACAGGTGACCATTCAGGGTGGGCTTCCTAGAGGAAGCCATGTGCAAAATCTTCCTCTGTCCCTGCTGGGATGGTGGGGGAAATACCCCCAACCTGTTTTTTTCCTTCTCTGTGCCACAGGCCCCAGCCTCCATATTGTGAGCACCAGCCTTGCACCTAGCTCGTCCTCACCCTCCTCACCATGCCCTCTAACTTCAGGACTCCAAAGGCCTCTTTGTTCAACGCCTACCTCCCTGGGGCCCCACTGGGACATGGGGGACACTCCAGGCCCTGCCCCCCTCTTCTGCTTTTGTGCTTGGGACCAAGCTGAGAACTGGGTCAGGGTTTGCAGAAGACGGCGGCTGGGGGCCCCACCACCAGGGCAGAGAAGGGATTGGGGGGTGCACTGGGACTATCGGGGAAGGAGGGTCACCCAGGCCTGACCTTTGGGGAGATTCTGGTATCTTCCCACCACTCCCTTGCCTCCCTCATCTCTCTTCTCTAATGTCTTCTACTTTTTTTTTAATGATAAAGTCTTAAAAACACAAAGTCACCAGAGTCCTGCTGTCTCTTCTAAGATTGCAATTCTCACACATCTGAGGTTCAAGAATCTCCAAAAATAACCGCTAGTCTTTGTCCTGCGCATATCAGTTAGCTATTGCAATGTAACAAGCTTCTCTGAAACTTGGTAGCTCAAAACATCAACTGTTACTAAGTTCATTGTGTGGCAGGGTGTCATTTTAGGCCTGGCTGGGCAGCTCTGGGGACTCCCTCCCATATATATATTTTTTTTTTCTTTTTTTTTTGGATCTGGTCATGGGGCCTGAACTCTGGACCTGGGCGCTGTCCCTCAGCTCATCAGCTCAAGGCTAGCGCTCTACCACTTGAGCCACAGCGCCCCTTCCAGCTTTTTTTTCCTGCTTATGTGGTGCTGAGGAATTGAACCCAGGGCCTCATGCATGCAAGGCAAGCGCTCTACCACTGGGCCACCTTCCTAGCCCTCCCTCCCATATTTGTGTAGCTCCCACTTGGTTTGTATACTCACAGTCCACACTTAGCCATAAAGATGAAATTATTCCAAAGCAACCCATGTGGATGGGCAAATGCAGGCCTCACAGTGGGAGAGAAGGGAAGGGAAAAGCGGGAGGGGAGAGGGAGAAGCAGGGCTGCTGCACTGCCCAGCTGGTGGAACAGGCTCCCAAGGTAGTCAGATGGATTAATTTGCATAATCACACCTACTCCAAGGGCAGGGCAGCAGGGCTCACAGGTGCTGCTGATGTATATTTGGCTGGCCACACCCACACTGTGGGTGGGCCCCTGAGGATCACAGGTGCATCTGTGTATATTTGCATAGGCACACCCACACCAGTGGTGGCTGTGGGCTGTGGGGCTCACAGGTGCTGCCGTCGGTGCCGCAGGGCCTCAGTGGGGGAGAACAGGAAGTCCTGGCCGCAGGTGTCGCAGTGGTAGGGCCTCTGCAGGGCTGATGCCTTCTGGATGGGTGCAGGGGCTTCTTCTGCCTCTGCGGAGGAAGGGCGGCTTCAGAGGCTGCTCTGCACTGAGCAGTTCCCCCCCCCTCCACTCCACCCTGGCCCCTGGGCTCAGGCCCATAGGGAATGTGTCTGCCCAGGGAGTCCCAGGGGACAGGCTGGAGGTGTTGTGACCCTCTGGGTGGCAGGAGGACAGGAGACTAGGCCAGGGTAACAAAGAGGGTGCCGGGGTATAAGGAGAAAGTGGCAAGCAAGGTTGTGTGTGTACGGGGGTGCTTTCCTGACAAAGCCAGGTGGCATCAGGGTGGATGCCAGGGCACACAGGCGACACGGCCGGTCCTGACCTGCGCCATCCTCCTGAGGGGCCTGGGCACAGGTGTTCTCGTGGGCCATGCGCTCCAAGGGCGTGAGCGGCAGGTGCAGGCCGCAGTGCGGGCAGGTCCAGAAGGTGCGCAGACAGTCACTGTACAGGTCTGTGTCGCTCTGCGTGGGGACCAGTGACAGGAGGCCATGAGCTAGGACCTGGGCCTCCCCACCTGAACCCCTCCCAGGACCCTTGGGGAGGGGTCAGTTTCAGGGTGGGAGCAGGTGTGGGGGCCTAGAAAACCCCACCTCCAGGGCAGAGGGCTGAGGGGGCTGAGGCAGGATTGGTGCTCACCACAAGGCAGTTGTAGGTGAGGAAGTCAGTGACCACGTAGCCCCCTTTGGTGGGGTGGGGGGACAGGGTGGAGTCTCCAAAGAGACCAGGGAGACTAGGGGCAGTTGTGACCGTCTGGGGTCCCACATAGAGGTTCTGGGTCTCAAGGCCTGTGAGCCGCCGCAGGCTGTAGGGAACCTACAGGAGACAGAGAGCAGAGCACCTAGATCCACCGATACCTGAAGCCCCCACAGCAACTTCATTATGAGAATCAACTCATGAAGCCGCTCACAACGTCCCCACGCACACTCAGGCCTCCATACCCATCCCTCCCTCAACTGCCTTCCCTGGTCTCTGCTTCCTGTCGCTGGAGGACCACGGCCGGATCCAGTCTGGCCATCCACTCCACCAAGGGACGTCAGCCTTGTTCCCCGTTTCCTGACTCACTGGGTTCCGCCCTTTTTTCTTATGCTCCTCTCCTTCTCCAAGAAGTCAGCCTGGATTGCGCCGGTCTGGCCCACCCACCCAGGAGCCAGGCTCTCTATGAGAAGGGGACAAGGTTTGCGCCTGCTCAGTTCAGTTCCTCCCACGCATCCTGCGCGTGCGGTGGCAGCGTGAGGCGCACTGGCAGGAGGCGCTCAGTGACTGCAGGTGACATGTTGTGCTGCTGCTTTTGGACCAGGCTCCTGGGGTCCCCTAACTGGCTGTGTGACCCTGGACAAGTCATCCAACCTCTCTGGCTGTGGTACCTTGGAGGCCATGAACTGCAGCAGCTCCCTGCCCAGGGCGGCCACCTCCTTGCTGTGGATCGGCAGCCTCTCCTCTTCCTCTTCCTCTTCTTCAGGCCTTTGCCACTGCCGCCGCCGCAGGGCCTGGCGTGCCAGCTGCTGGTCCAGGGCGCTTTCCCAGCGTGCTCGGAGCTTCAGGGAGGTTGCCAGGAGTCGGACGGCACTCTCACTGTCCGCCAGCCGCAGCTCCAGCCAGCCGTCGGCCACCAGGCGGGAGCAGTCACCACTGGTGTCCAGAGAGCGGCTGAGCAGCAGGAGGGACTGGGGAAGGGGGGGATATGGGGGGGATCCAATCAGGCTGGGTCTGAAGTCCAAGCAAGCTCCGAGTCCCAGGAGCAGAGACCCCACTCCCCCAGTGTGAGGGTTGGCCTGGGGTCCTGCTCAGCTTTGGGTGTCCTGTGAGATGGGTGGACCTGGCCACAGGGGGCTGGTTCAGCACTGGGTAAAGGGATGAAGGACTCAGCGGATGCCCGCCCACCTACCTCTGGAACACTTACCCCCCCCCCACCAGGGCTCTGCCTGCCCGCCCTGCCTGCAGAGCGTGGGATGGCCTCTCCCGGATTCTTTGTGTTGTTCACACACATGCACACACAGCAGTGTGCAAGCTCAGCCAAGACACTCGATCACAGGGCCATCAGAAGCCAGAGGCCTATGAGCACCAGGGCACTTTACTGATCTCCCTCAGAAAAAGAGGCCTCAGGGCCTTTGCACCTGCTGGGTCCCTCTGCCATGGCCCTGTCCCAGGGTGTGCCTCCCAGGTATGGCTGGCCTTAGTGCCTCACACCCTATCAGAAATGGTTCCCTCTCCACCCCTCCCCTGTGCTCCAATCCCCTCCCTGCACCTCTACCACAGGGCTTAGCTCAGGGCCAGCCCCATCCTGGCGCCTGCGCAGAAACCCACCTGGAGGGCAGGGACACGGACGCAGTTGACCAGGTAGGGCTTGTTGGTCTCCAGCAGGGAGACGAAGGTGAGGAGCTGATGTGAGCGGCTCATCTTGTCCCGGACATCTGAAAGGCCAAGGGCAGCTCAGGCCACCTCCCCTCCCGCAGCACCATCCCCAGGCCTGTCCTGCCCTGGTGACTCCACACGCCCACTCAGCACTGGCAGTGCCACGGGCAGGCTGCGACGGGCTATAGGTGCTGGCTGGCACGGCGGTGATGCAGTACAGCCCTGGCTACCCATAGTGACACGGTGTCTGCACGTGCTCCACACTGTCCAGCCAAACGCAAAATAATTTGTGTGTTTTTTTTTTGGTTGGTCACGGGGCTTGAACTCTGGGCCTGAGCGCTGCCCTTGAGCTCTTCAGCTCAAGATGAGCTCTGCCACTTGAGCCACAGCACCACCTCCCACAAAATAAAATTTAAAAGAAAGGAAGAAGCCAGCCATCGGTGGCTCACGCCTGTAATCTTGGCTACTCAGGAGGCTGAGATCTGAGGATTGTGGTTCAAAGCCAGCCAGAGCAGGAAGTCCATGAGACTCCTCTCAAATTAACCACCAGAAAAACAGAAGTGGTGCTGTGGCTCAAGTGGTAGAGTGCTATTCTTGAGCTGAAGAGCTCAAGACCCTGAGTTCAATCCCCACGACCAACAAAAAGAAAAAGGGAAAAAAAGGAAGGAAAGAAGGAAGGGAGAAAGGTAAGGAGGGAGGAAGGGAGGGAGGGAGGGAAGGAGGGAGGGAGGGAAGGAAAGGTACTCCAACAGGAAGGAGAGGGGAGGACTCTAAGGAACAGGGCGCTGAGCAGGTGGGGCGCCAAGGCCTTGTCTAGATGTTCAAACCTCCAAACACAAAGGGAAAGCAGGGTGGCAGGCAGAGCACAGCTCTGCTAACACCTGAGGTGGGGGAGCCCTCAAGGGGGGCGGGGGCACGCAGGGGGCCCAGGAGCCCGTGGCCAGGGCTGGCTTGCTGCCCCAGCCCTCACCTCGGCTCCCCTGGTCTGGGGCTTGTAGCTCCTGGGCGTGCAGCACCTCGGGGCTGCTGGCGAAGACGCAGGTGGGGTGCAGCACGGCGCCCTGCTTGGCCTGGGTGTGGAAAATCTGTAGAGGCCAGAGACAAGTGCTGGGGCGGCCGGTGGGCCCGCAGCCCGTGGCCCGCTGCCTGGTGCCCAGCCCCATCCCCAACCTCCTGGCCAGGCCCCTCCTCCAGGAAGCCCTCAGGCCTTTTCCCCTCGGGACCGGCTGTCCATCCCCCACATGGCGCTTGAGTTGGGGTAGGGGCTGGGACTGAGGTGCTCAGAGGCCCCACCTGGTCAGAGTCCTTGCGGCCGCTGTTGAAGGCGTCGGGCACAGCCAGCTGCGGGTAGAGGCCCCGGGTCAGCAGCAGCTTGAGCAGTGCCAGGCGCTCGCCGCTCAGGTCCTGGGCCGCGCTGGCTGCCACCTGCAGCTGCGCCAGGTTGTGGCGGAGCTTGAATTTCACGTCCTGCAGGGGGCGCTGTGTGAGGGGCCGTGCCTGTCCCAGGAGGCGGCGATCGAGGGCCCGCGAGTCCCCCAGCCAACCTGGATGTCCACGCCGCCGCCGCCGTCGGGGGCCCCGGGGCCCGCAGGGTCGTCCTCGTCGCTGGAGCCCGCGGCCCGGTCCTCGCGCAGCCGCAGCACCTTCCGCCCGCGGCCCGCGCCCTCCTCGTGCTGCCGCTTCAGCTGCTGCAGCGCCCGCCGCTCCCGCCGCTCCTGCAGCCGGCTGCTGCCTCCCTGGGGGGCGCCGGGGCCCCGGCCAGCAGCCCGTGGTCCTCCAGCAGCTCCTGGGTCGGTGGGGGCCACAAGGAGACAGGCTGGGGGACTCGGAGGGCGGCTGCCACCCTCCCTGCTTCCCTGTCACCATTTCGTGCTCGGTGGGTACCACCCTGCGGGGACCCCTGCCCCACGTGGGGAGTCCCCGCAGCGGGAGGGGGGAAGCCCCCAGCTGGGCCGCGTCCCCCTCCGCACCTTGAACTGGCGCCGCAGGTTGGCCATCTCATACAGGCGCTGCTCCTCCACACCGCGCCGGCGGCACCAGCGGCGCGAGTTCCCGCCGCGCTCAGACTTCACCTGGGGGAGGTGAGGGGGAGTCAGCGCTGGCCAGCTGGAACCCCGGGGGAGTCCTCACCCCTGCACTGAGCTCAGATGGTAGACACCGGGCTGGGTGTAGCCACTTAGAGGAGCCAAGGGGCCCTGACCTTGGGTGTAATGACGGACAGACGGACAGATGGACAGATGGGGCAGACAGACAGCCAGGCCCAGCCTCACTGCCCCTCACCTGCACCCAGGTGTTGAAGATGGACAGATGGACGGACAGACAGCCGGGCCAAGTCTCCCCTTCACCCCCCTCCCCCTCCCCTCTGCCCCTCACCTGCACCCAGGCATTGAAGACGTTGAAGAGCGTGAAGGGGTCGCCCTGGTCGCTCTCCAGGGGCCTCCGGGCGGCTGCGCACTCCAGGCTGCCCTGGGCGCTGCGGGTGAAGGGCGACTGGACACTGAGAGCCGCGGCTACGGTGAGCACCGGCTCCGCCAGGCTGAACATGGCTCCCAGGATCAGCATCTTCCCTGTGTGCACAGGTGCTGGGGTGAGGCCGGGGCACCCGCGGGCCTGCCCACCCGGGGCTGCCTCCGCCAATCAACGGTCCACAGAAGGCATACTGGGCCAGATGGGTAGATTCAGAGCCCCTGTGCTGAGCTTTCTGGTCACGTGGCCTTGGCAAGAGCCTCAGTTTCCCCATCTGTGGTTGACGATGGGAGCTCCCACCTCCTGGATATCTGGAACGTCTTGTATAGAGCCGGGGTGCCCCCACCCCCGCAGCTGCAGCCACTCCCCCACTGACCGCCTCCCCCAGTGCTCCCGCCTCGCGCCTGCTTTTCCTTCCCACTGCTCCTCAGTGCGCCTCCATCTCCTCCGGGGTGATGGGCGAGTGGGGCGGGGGGGGTGGCGAGATGGAGAGGAAACCGCTAGGAACAGAGACCCCCTGGCGTGACGCAGCCCTCCACGTCACCCCGTCCCGCTGGCCTGCCCGGTGACAAGGTCTCGTGACACATGTATGACTCACTGCAGACAACCTGCTCCCATGCCTGTCAGGGGTCCCACCCAATAAAGGGGGGTTGGTGAAGCCAGGCTCAGGCCAGAAGTGGCTCCTGCTGTGCCAGCCTGGCCCCTGCTGCCCCGCCTGACCCCACCACTTTATACTGGCTCTGTCCCAGCCATGGGCTCTGTGCCTTGCTGTTTGCCTCCCCACTCCCTCCTGGCCCCCAATTCAGAAGCTCCAGGAGGGGAGAACTGAGTGCTTTTGCCGTGTATCATCGGTGCCTAGAATAGTGCTGGAGCAGGAGCTCAGTAAACACAACTTCTCCCCTCCCTCTCACTGTGCTCAGTCACAAGACCCTTCCCAAAGACACCAGGCAGGTTCCCACCACAGGGCCTTTGCACCTGTACCCTTTGCCTCCAATGCCTGTTTGCCACTTCTCCATGGTCCAGCACACGGGCTGCAGAACCTCAGATGCTAGAGTGGGCTCCCACCTGCTCTCCCTGCACCATCCAGCCTCATGCATTCTTGCCCCCTCCCAGCTAGGGGCTGTCCCCCAAAGGCAAATGTGGGTCTCTTATCTACTCCTGTACCCCAGTTCTAGGCACAGAGCACTGGGGAATGGGTCTCAGGGATCAGGGAAGGCTCAGGCTAAAACTGGGTGCCCTCTGGAGGGGGCGGGCCTCACCGATCACCACGTCCACAGGCAGCTGGGCCAGCAGGCACCCGATGGGGGTGAGGGCCTCTGAGCTGTCCAGGGCCCCCTGGTCTCGGAGGTAGAGGATGGCGGTTTCCAGGCTGGCTGGTGGAGGGGGCTCGATGAAAGGGAAGGTTCGGGGGTCCCCCACACTCATGCTCTTCATCTGGAATAAGGACAGACACCCCCAGGATCAGGGAAGATGCGAACTACTTGTGGAGCATGGTGGGCATGCTCAGAATCAAACTCAGAACTTGGCCCTTCAAGCTCTGTCAGCCAGCAGCAGGTCAGGGGAGAGAGCTGTCTGTCTGTCTGTCTGTCTGTCCAGCACATCCTTCCTCACTCTGACAGCGGAGGATCACGCAGACCTAAGCCTGGAACAACCACAGTTGCGGGGAGTCCTGGGCCCTGCCTGTGGTGCTATCTGCTGGTGCGGGCGGCCCTGGGGCCCCTCGCGGCTGACCCAACCCTCCCTGCCTGCGTCACCTGCAGCACCAGCGTGTCCAGAGCTACCCTTCGGATCTCGGGCACAGGGTAGGGGGTGAAGGCGTCGTAGTCGGACTCAGCATAGAGGCGGTAGCAGACGCCGGGGCCTGTGCGGCCTGCGCGGCCCTTGCGCTGCTCGGCGCTGGCCTGGCTGATCCAGAACTCCTGCAGCCGCTGCAGCTTGGCCTGTGGGTCGTAGCTCATCTCTTTCACCTTCCCTGGGTGGGCAGAGGGAGCCGCTGAGGGCCAATCACATCACCCACGCTCTGGAGGGGGGGAGGGAGGCAGCATGCCCACTGCCCTCTCTCCCGCCCTGGCTAACTGCACCAGCTCCAGGTGTCCTGCAAAGGCTCATGGGTGAAGGCGTGAGTCGGTGGCTTTGCTGAGGCCCAGCTGCTACCATGACAGGCTGCCTCCTCTGTGCATAGCAGACCCCAAGACCGCCCCCGCCCCCCTCCCCCGAGCCTCCCACACCTCCCGAGGTCCCCAGTGGGGGCCAGGCAAGCCTTACCAGAATCCACTACGAAGCGGATCCCGTCGATGGTGACCGAGGTCTCGGCAATGTTGGTTGAGAGAATGCATTTCCGGACACCAGGGGGCGCCACGTCGAACACCTGTGGGACAGGAGGGGGTGGCACTGACTCACCTGCTTGCAATGGCCTCCTGATGTGGCCCCCCGCTCCTGCCCCCCATGTACCTCAGGACCCACCTCACCTCAGTCCCCACAAGAGCTCAAACATTTGTTGAATCGCCCTCCCCCCATGTCTTTCCTGAAACCCAGCCCCTCTCCCGGTCTCCCCCACCCACACGGCTTCCCCTCTGCACTCTGACCCATAGTCCCCCACCCTGCCGCCCAGCTCTCCTATGGAAGCCCGAGATCTTCTATAGCACAAGGTGTACCCCTGATTCTTGCTCCCAGGCCCCATCCTGGGGTCTTTAGGGCCCCTTGTGGCTTAGCCCCACCCCCTATCTCTCCAGACTTGCTCTGTACCCAGCTACAGCCTGTTATCTCCCAAATGCCCCCTTGCTGGCCACAGGCCCTTTGTACAAGCCCTTCTGACTCTACACAACGGCGCAGCCTGCCAACCGCCATGCCCTCCCACTGTTTGGCAAGGGCATCTATACTGGCACACAGCTGGGTGTGCCAGCAGCCCCTCAGCCCCTCCCTCTGTTCCCCATGTGTCATGCTCTGCCTGGCTCCTGTGGGTACCTTGTCCTGGTCGGCCACTGACAGGGCACTGTGCAGCGGCAGCACTATCCAGCGCTGGGTGTGGCTGGCATAGGTCTGAGCGGCCTCCAGCACCGAGCTGATCTCCGCCATGCCGCTAAGGAAGACCAGCAGGTCCCCTCGTTCTTCAGGGGGGTACTTGTTGTCGATGGTCTCCAGCACCCTCAGGAAAGGCCGAGGGTCCAGCTTCTCTGACTTGGACGTCGCGGGTTCTGCCTCCTGTGGCTGGTACACAACCTGAGAGAGGACAGCCCCACGCAGGGGTGCGCTTGAGACTGACATGGCCCCACAGGGGGCAGAGGCAGCCGGGGGGGAGGGGGGGGAGTGGCCGGCCACCAGTGGGGAGGAGGAGCCTGAGGGTGCTGGGACCCCCACCCAGCTCCACCATCAGCCAAGAAAAGCAATCGGCGTCCACACAGATGAGCCTTCTAGTGTTTTCTTTGTTACAGCGACTCGGCCTTCACCCCCAAACTGCCCATCCTGCGTCTACCTAGTTTGGAGTAAATGTACCAAAAAAATAAAAGTGGAAGCTTAAGATGGGCACCGGTGACTCATGCCTGGAATCCTAGCTACTCAGGAGGCTGAGATCTGAGGACCGTGGTTTGAAGCCAGCCCAGGCAGAAAAGTCCCTGTGAGACTCTTATCTCCAATGAACCACCAGAAAACCGGAAGTGGCCCTGTGGCTCAAATGGTAGAGCGCTCGCCTTGAGCTGAAGAACTCAGCGACAGTGTCCAGGCCCAGAGTTCAAGCCCCACATCTGACAAAAATAAATAAAAAGAGGGCATGGCTCACTGCCAGGCCCCAAGATGAACCCCCGTGCTGCGGGTGTCCACGCACCGTGATGGGGAAGAGCCGGCCCGGCACCTGCACCACGGGGGCGTGGCCAAAGTAGCTGGAGAAGAGCTCGATGTTGATGGTGGCTGACATGAGGATGACCTTGAGATCAGGCCGCCTGGGCAGCAGGTGGTGGAGGACCCCCAACAGGAAGTCACTGTGGAGGTGGCGCTCATGGACTTCATCCACGATGAGGACCTGGTACTGAGGCAAGCTGGGCTCCCGCTGGATCTGCCGGAGGAGCAGCCCCACCGTCAGGAACACAATCTTGGTGGCGGACGACCGTGTGCTTTCGAAGCGGATCTGGTAGCCGACCTGGGGTAGGAGGAAGGAGATCGATGAGGAGGAGCAGACCTTGGGCCTGAACACCAGATCCCCACCTCCAGTGCATTCAGGGCTGGCCTCCAACCACAATGCTCCTGACCTCTGCCTCCTGATTATCTAGGAATACAAGCTTGAGTCACTGGGATGCTTAGAGGACTGACAAGCCTTAAGTGGCCTGTACTTTGGCTGCAACAGTACACCCTGTCCCGCTCACCTGTGAGCCATACTGACTGAGGCTCTCGAAGGCCACACGCTTGGCCAAGGAGATGCAGGCGATTCGCCGGGGCTGAGTGCACGCCACATGACTGAAGCCGGCTGCCAGCAGGTATTGGGGCACCTGCGTGGACTTGCCACAGCCTGTGTCCCCAGCCACCACCACCACCTGGTGCTCTGCCAGCGTCTGCAGCAGGCGGCGCCCGTACTGGGCGATGGGAAGAGCTGCACGCTCCCGCTGAAGCTTGGCCAGCCGCGCGAACGCCTGCTTCTGGCCGAAGTCCAGGTAATGCAAGAGAGCCCGGCGGAACTCAGACACCCTCTCCGGAGGCAGGCGAGTGGCCAGCCCCCGAGAGCCCCGGGGGTCGGGGCCAAGGATGGACAGGTTGATGCGGTAGCGGGGGTCGTAAGTGCGAGGAAGGTCGGCCAGGGCTGGGAGGCCATGTGGGGGAGATCCAGGCTCTGTCTCCTCCTTCCTGGATGGCCTGAGACTCTGGTACCTCTGCAGACGCTCAAAGAAGGTCCAGAACTTCTGGCAGTCCTCCGAGCCCCGACGGATACAACCTCCATCACCGAAGAAAGTGTCCTCTAAGAGGCCCCGGGTTTCTGGACAATTCCAGTCCCACTTCTCAGGGGCTTCTTTGGCACTAGGAGCCCGGTGGTGGTCTCGGCGGTCCCGCCCCTCCCTTGTCCCCGGGGAGGGCATGGTGCTAATCACAATGCTGTCCGCAGCTGGCCTCAGTTCCAGTCACCATGTCACCTTCAGCAGTTAAGAGGCCCGGCCTACTTTCCTCTTCAAAGAGCAAATTCCCTTCCTCTTCCCTGGCATAGGATCACAGGTGAAAGTGGGCTGCCAGCAGCCTGGTCAAGCTGGTAACACACAAGGCTCTTCATGACTCTGGGAGGGACACATGTGTGTCCTGGCTTTGGGAACCCTGGATGTGTCAGGAGGAGAGCAGAGGACATTCATTTGCCAAAAGCTTTGCTTTCTCAAACACTGGATTAGGAATAAACCCGAGCTCTCACAGATGGCCCGGCTCATACAAGTCACACCTCCTACCCTGGGCCACTCAAGAGACTGGGCTGGGATCCAGGAAGCCCAGAGGTGTCTGCCCAGACTTCGGAGTTGGGGAAGGAGGTGGCCTGAGCCATAAAGGAAGTGAATAGATCACCTGACCTATCAATGAGCGAACCCTTCATGAGTGACAGCAGAGCCACAGGAGGTGAGATCATATGGGAACTGTCCACTGAGCTTGCCAGCACTGGAAGCCCCTTGAGATGAAAGGAACACTTAACATGCAAGCCTTAGGTACACAGTACACTTGTTCTGCCCTGCCTGGCACATTCCTGCCTTTCTGTCCCCCTTGGAGAGCAGCCCTTGTCTTCCTCAAGGATCTGTTGACAAGGGCCTCATATAACCAGTATTGATTGGAGTAAGGCCTGGCCAATCGTGGTACAACATTCCACTTTTGCTCTGGGATTGGTCAGAGGAGTGGACACATGACCCAATTAGGGCCAATCAGGGCCCCTCTGTGCCTTTTACACTCCAGTTACCAGGAGAGCAGAGCTCTGGGTTTATCTAGTTACTAGACTAGCTGGATGGAAACCTGAAGCTGACTCTTATCAGGCTTCCCAGCAATCTGACCCAGGAAAAAGCCAGTATGTGGGGCACAGGGAGTGACTGTGGGAGGCAGGATAAGTGTGGCCATGTGGCTTAGTGCTCAAGGCTTAGTTCCTTACAACCCTCCACCTCCTGGCTTCGGTCACAGGATGCTTTGCTGTGTTTCCTGGGGATGGAACTCAGGGTTTACAAAGCATTTATGATCTATATTCCCAGTCCAAAAAAATTGAAAGATGGAACTAGTAGAGTATACAGAGCTGGGTACTGGGCTGGGAAGGTGGCTCATTGGTAGAGCTTGCCTTGCATGCCTGGAGGCCCTGGGTTCGATTCCTCAGCACCACATAAGCAAAAAGAAAAAAGCCAGAAGTGGCATGTGGCTCAAGTGGTAGAGTGCTAGCCTTGACCTGAAGAGCTGAGAGACAGCGCCCAGGCCGAGTTCAGGCCCCACGACTGGACCCAAAAACAAAAACAAAAAAAGAGCTGGGTACTGGTGGCTCAACCTGTAATCCTAGCTACTCAGGAGACTGAGTGAGCTCTGAATATCACGGTTGGAAGCCAGTCTGGGCAGGAAAGTCCATAAGACTCTTATCTCCAATTTACTGACAAAAAGCTAGAAGTGGAGCTCTGGCTCAAGTGGTAGAGCTCCAGCCTTAGGCAAAAAAAAAAAAAAAAAGAAAAAACTCAGGTACAGCACCCAGGCCCTGAGTTTGAACAGCACCAAACAAAACATATACAATTGTAACAGCAATTTTCTGACGGGAAGTTTATCATTCTTTTTCTTTTTTCCTTTTTTTTTTTTTTTTTTTTGCCAGTACTGGGGTTTGAACCCAGGGCCTTGTGCTCTACCTCTTGAGCCAAACACAACTCCGCCCTCACTTAGTTTTTCAAGCAGGATCTCACATTTCTGTCCAGGAGACCAGGACAATGACAGGGGCTTGCCACCAAACCCAGCCTCTATGGGTGCTGGGGCTTGAACTCGGGCCTGGACGCTGAACTTTTTCTGCTCAAGGCTGGCGCTTGCGCCACAATTCCACTTTTTTGGCTTTTTTGGTCCTCCTTGCCCACACTGGATTCGAACCTTGTTCCTCAGATCTCAACCTCCTGAGTAGCCAGGATTACAGGCGTGAGCCATCAGCACACATTCCTGTTTATCTCGGGGTTTCCTTCACCCACTCTCCGGTGGACGCCCAGCTACCCCTAACCGGACAGCCGCACCAGCGCCACCGCCACCGCTACCCCGCGCGCGCCACGCCCCTCACCTCTCCGCTGCGGCGCGGACGCACCAACTTCCGGCACACATATGGCGGCAGGGCTTGGGCTGAAGAGTGCGCGGACAGCGCGCATCAGCAGAAGGAAGCCATGGCAAGCGGTCGGCGGGGGGGGGGCGGGGGGGGCGGGGGGGGCAAGATCCACCGTGCGCCTGCGTACAGCGCGTTCCTTCTTCTGCTTCGCTCTGGACAGAGCTTCCGGGGACGCTGCGCCCCCTAGGGACAGCTGGAGGCGCTGCGGTGGGCAAAGCTGCCTTCGGACCTGTTCCCGCCTCTCCACGCTGCACCCCAGGATCGCGGGACCAGGGCCAAGAGGGCTCACCCCTGGAATTCCAGCCACTCAGGAGTCCTAGATCTGTGGGGAAGCCAGCCAAGGCAGAAAAGTCTGTGAGACTCTTATGTCCAATTAACCACCAAAAAGCCAGACGTGGAACTGTGGCTCCACCAGCCTTGAACAAAAAAAGGTTAGGGACAGCACCCAGACTCTGAGCTCAAGACCCAGGACTGGAGCAACAACAACAACAACAACAAAAAATAGAGAAGACTGCACTCTAGGTTGGCAGCATTGCCTTCTGGAACTTTCTGCAATGAGGGAAACCTTTGCTGCCCAATATGTTCGCCCTCCACTCCAGCCCGTGTAGCCCCTGAACAAAGTGCATTGAGCATGAGGACTGAATTCTAAATTGTAATTTTAATGTGCGTTCTCCAAAAAGGGTTACCAAACTATCTCCTCTGTACATCATCTTTATAATAACAATAAAAACATTTTTTAGGGCTCAGTGGTAGAGTGCTTGCCTTGCAGGCATGAGGCCCTGGGTTAGATTCCTCAGCACCACATAAGCAAAAAGAAAAAAGCCAGAAGTGGTGCTGTGGCTCAAGTGGTAGAGCACTAGCCTTGAGCTGAAGAGCTGAGGGACAGCGCCCAGGCCCAGAGTTCAGGCCCCACAACCGGACCCCCCCAAAAAAACCCAAAAAGCATTTTTTAATGTGGAAAGTCACAGGAGCTCGTGCTTGTCCAGTCGATGGCGTAGATGGGCAGTGCGGGTGAGGGTATCAGCTTAGATGGGCATGGACAGAACATGGCCTCTGGGTTCTTGGGCTGTAACAAATGACCACAGACCCCGGAATGTAGTGATTTGAAACAATGTGTATTCTCTTACAGTTTTGGCCATTAGAGGTCAAAGGTCAGACAGTCTTTGTTCCTTTGGGAGGCTTCCAGGGGAATCTTGGCCCTGCTATATTTGGCTTCTGGAGGCTGAGTACCCGTACCTACTCTATTAAAGCCTCACACCTAGCACGTACATAATGAATGTTGGTCAAGGGAGGAATGAAATCAAGACATCACTGAGCACCTAGATCCAACTATCCCTGAAGCTGTTCCATATAAAATGAGAGCTCGGATATTTAACCCCCGCATCCCTCTTGCTTACACCTCCATCTCGGACATGAAGTCATGGCTGGTGGCTGCTTTGCTAGTGGAGCTTTCTTCCTTGTCCTGGGATTCCCTCAGGGCCTGCCGACAGGCAGCCGGCAGGGATCTGCACAACTGAGCACGCCCAAAGTACAGGAAGATAATAGGGTTGAGACAGCTGTGAGCCAGGGCCAGGCCCACGACCAACGGCTCAGCACTCAGAGCTCGGAACAGGAGCACAGAGTTTGGAGCAGCCACAGTCAGTACCACCCCTAGGAAGTGGTAGGGAGCCCAGCAGACAAAAAAACCCACTATGACCGCCATACTCAGTGGCCAGTGACGCGGGGCAACGCGGCTCAGGAGCACGCTGTGACAGCCCACCACAAACACCAGTGGGCCCAGGAAACCAAACAGGAACCTGCTGGCATTGATCAGGACCTCGGTTGTGACCGAGCCACCGTAATCCACCACACAGGCCAGCCGGGAGGGGAAGGCCTCCTGGTGCAGGCGGCGGTAGACAGCCGAGGGGACGGTCAGCAGCAAGGCCAGCATCCAGGCCGCCCCCCGAGACACCTGCACCCCTCGACTCCGCCAAGTCACCACCCACCAGGGGAGCCTCAGAGCCATGAGACAGAGGTCCCCGCTTAGCGCAGCCAGCAGCAGGACACTGGCGTACATGGACAGCAGGATGGCCGAGGGCAGCAGACGACAGCCCAGCGCCCCGTACGGCCAGTGTCCCTGCCGTGCCATCGGCACAGCCAGGACGGGGAGGGACAGGCAGCACAGCAGGTCAGCCACCGCCAGGTGCACGAACCACGCAGCCCATGCCCTGCGGCCCGCCTCTTTCCCGGCCACCCATGCCACCATGGCATTGCCTGGCACCCCCAGGAAGAAGATGGCCGCATAGAGGACGAGTGGAGCCACACGGAGGACACTGGGAGAGAGAAGGCAGGCACCGTCGGGACAGTCCACAGGGACATCTGGGAGGTCACTGTAGTCCCCGTATTGGATGTCGAAGCTGTGAGAGTCGTTCTCCATCCTGGCTGTCCACACCTGGGGGAGACACAGCGGGACACTCAATGACAATTCCTTCCTCCTCCTGTAGTTTTGGTGCCAGCCCTGGGGTTTGAACTTAGGGCCTTGCCCTGGTCTGGCAGGCGCTCTACCATTTGGGCCACACTCTCATCCCTTTTGACCCATGATTTTTTTTTAGTCAGTCGTGGGGCTTGAACTCTGGGCCTGGACACTGTCCCTGAGCTCTTCAGCTCAAGGCTAGGGCTCTACCACTTGAACTACAGCACCACTTCCGGTTTTCTGGTGCTTCACTGGAGATGAGTCTCATGGACTTTCCTTCCCAGGCTGGCTTTGAAGCATGATCCTCAGATTTCAGCCTCCTATGTAGCTTAGATGACAGGATGACAGTGAACCACCGATGCCTGGCTTGCTCGTTTGTTTGTTTGTTTTGTTTTGTTTTACATCAGATCATGATCCTCCTATTCACACTTCCAGAGATGACTGGCACACTTCAACCCGCTCAGCTATTTATTGGTTGAGATTGGCAGTGGGGAGTGTTCTTGTGAACTTTCTTTTTTGCCTGAGTGGGCCTCAAACCTCTATCCTCCTGACCTTCTGCCTCCTGAGTCATTGGAGCTATGGGCTTCAATACTCTAGGGTTTCCTATTACTATTGTTTTGTTTTTGTTTTTGTTTTGCAGGTCCTGGGGCTTAAACTCAGGGCCTGGACATTGTCCCTGAGTTTCTTTTGCTCAAGGCTAGCTCTGTGTCACTTGAGCCAGAGCTCCATTTCTGAGTTTTGGGTAGTTTATTGGAGATAAGAGTCTCACTGACTTTCCTGCCCTGTCTGGCTTCTTCTTTTTTTTTTTTGTTGTCGATCATGGGGCTTGAACTCTGGGTCTGGGCGCTGTCCCTCAGCTCTTCAGCTCAAGGCTAGTGCTTCTACCACTTGAGCCACAGTGCCACTTCCAGCTTTTTCTGCTTATGTGGTGCTGAGGAATCGAACCCAGGCCCTCATGCATGCAAGCACTCTACCACTGAGCCACCTTCCCAGCCCAAAGGGTTGGTCTTTATTTTTTTGCTGATCATGGGGCCTGAACTCTGGGCCTGGGTGCTGTCTCTTAGCTCTTCAGCTCAAAGCTAGCACTATATCACTGGAGCCACAGCGCCACTTCCCGCTTTTTCCACTTATGTGGTGCTGAGGAATCGAACCCAGGGCCTCATGCATGTGAGGCAAGTACTCTACCACTGAGCCACCTTCCCAGCTCCCCCCCCCCCCCCCCCACACCCCGGCTGGGGGGCGGAAACCCCCCCCCCCCCCCCCCCCCCCCCCCCGCCTCCGTCTGGCTTCTAACAGTGATCCTCAGATCTCAGCCTCCTGAGTAGCTAAGATTAAGGGGTGAACCACTAGCACCCAGCCTCACACTCTAGCTTTGATTCTGTACTTTTTTTTTTTTTTTTGTCAGTTGTAGGGCTTGAATTCTGGGCTTGGGTGCTGTCCCTGCACTCTTCAGCTCAAGGCGATCGCTCTACCACGTGAGCCACAGCACCACTTCTGGTTTTCTTGTGGTTCATTGGAGATCAGACTCTCACTGAGTTTCCACCCCAGACTGGCTTTGAACTGTTATCCTCAGATCTCAGCCCCCTGAGTAGTTACTAGATTACAGCTGATCCTGTATTATTAACCCCTCCCCCCCACACACTCTTGTATGAAGACACAGAGGCCTACAGAAGGTAGAGAACTCACCAGAGGTCACTCAGCAAAGTAGAGGATTGAGCTTCACTTGGCACTGTGTTAGTCCCAGCTGGCTGTCTCTCTGTCCACTTTCCTCTGAAGTGTGACTTGTCCGATGAACCTGCCTCTCCAGTTTGGCAAGTCCTCAAAGAGATGACAAAGTTGATCACATGACACTAAGTAGAGGCTCAAGTAGGTAAATTGTAGCTAGGACAGGAGGAAGGGCGAAGTGACAGGGCACAAGACCCGGCCACTCTGGGCTGCTCACTGTGGGTTAGCAGGCCCTGTCCCAAGCTCTAAGGCTGAGCCAACAGGAAGGGCAGAGGAAGTTGGGACAGGCCTCATGTCCAAGAAACCCCCAAACCCCCCCAAACCCCATGCCTTATTTTTTTGTTTTTCTTGTGGTACTGAAGATCAAACTTGATCCTTGCATTTGCTAAGCAGGTGCTCTACCACTAAAGCCACACTTTTTTTTGTTTGGGGGCTTTTTATTTTTGTCAGTCGCGGGGCCTGAACTCTGGACCTGGGCTCTGTCCCTCAGCTCTTCAGCTCAAGGCGAGCTCTCTACCACTTGAGCCACAGTGCCATTTCTGGCTTTTTCTGCTTAAGTGGTGTTGAGGAATCGAACCCAGAGCCTCATGCAAGTTCTGAGTGTGGAATGGTTATAGATTTGTTTCATCCCTAAAGTGGAAACTAGTTGCAGGTTGTAGAAAGGTTGCTCCACCTGCTGTGTGACTTTCTGGCAAATAGCCTATCATCTCTGGGCTTGGATTTGAGTATGGGAAAGCGCGTACCTACCTTGCAGCCAAGGAATGGACCCGTGGGTGAGGCAGAGATGGAAAGGTACAGCCTGGACAGCACCTGGAGCTCCAGACCGGGCAGGCAGGCTGCGGGGCAGGCAGGTTGCATCTCCACCGGTTTATCACGCAGCCACCATCCCAGACTCCACCCTGCCCAGCACTTCCTGAGTGTAATCCAGGAACTTGCTGTACACAGGAATGTATCAGTCTGTGCCTTCTCCCTGGCAAGGCTTTCTTAAGGAACAGGATCATTTAACCCAGACAGTACCAGCCCTGCCAGCCCCAGCTGGAACTAACCCCAAGGTCTGTCTGCCACAGATAGGCAAACACTCATTGGAGATAAGAACCTCATGATTTTTCTGCCCGATTTGTTGGGCTTCCGCTAGATTTTCTAGGTGCTGCTATCCTAGTGAACTGTCAAGAACTGGGGGCCAGGCGCGGGGGTGGGGGTTGAGGGGAGGGCTCTGCCCACTCCAGGGCGTGGTTTTCCTGTCTTCTCTCGTGACTCATACATCCCAAAATTACTGGTTGCCAAAGTAAAGTTAGCATAGCCTGAAGGGCCGGCGGGCTGACCTGCGTCCCGGACCTAGAGCCAAGATCTCCCATGCCCTGGAAGCCAGCCACCTGTGGTTTAACTTCAGGATCTGGAAGTCTCAGCCTCAACTGGGTCTCCTGAAGTCTGGGACAATCACCAACTGCTTACTGCCTCCCCCTCCTCCCCTCCCCCCCCAACTCCTCTGTCTCTGCATAAAAGGTCCAAAAGTCCAGCTGAGAAAAGAGCCTAAGGCCCCCAGGAAAAACAAAACCTAAGTCCTACCCCCCTCCCTGGACCTCAGCTTTCAATCTGTGTGTGCTGTGGATGTGTTTGGTAAATGATGGAGGAGGAGGGAGGAGGGAGGAGGGAAGAAAGAGAAGGAAGAAGGAGGAGGAGGAGGAAGAGGAGGAGGTGGAGGAGGTGGTAGAATATATTCTTTTTGGGGGGGCCGAGGGTCAATTGTGGGCTAGTGCTTGAGCCACAGCACCACTTCCTGTTTTTTGGTGGTTCATGGGAGGTAAGAGCCTCACAGACGTTCCTGCCTGGGCTGGCTTTAAACAGTGATCCTCAAATCTCAGCCTCTTGAGTAGCTAGGGTGACAGGCGTGAGCTGCCAACACCTGGCAGAATAGACATTCTTAAATTTCACACACTCAAACTGGGGGTGTTGGTGCATGATTGTAATCCCAGAACTCCTGAGGCAGAGACAGATGATCATAAGTTCAAGGCCAGCCTAGGTTACACAGTAGGACATTATTGAGGGAGATTTATTAAAAAAAAAAAGCACTATCATAAGTGTTTGAATATTTAGACCAAGGGTCAGTGTCTCAGTGTGGTTTCTGGTAATTTATAAACAGCGAAGGTTTATTCAGCTCAGGGTAGTGCAGTTGGGAAGGAGGTCCAAGGTTGAGGAGCTGTGTCTGCTGAGGGCTTTCTTGTGGGTGGAGATCTCAGCTCAGGAGGCTGAGATCTAAGGATCATGGTTCAAAGCCAGCCTGGACAGGAAAGTCTAAACACATGCCAAAACAGAGCAAACTCCAGTCTCCTTTTTGTACAATGCCAGGCTGTCATCCAAGGAGGACCCTTCCCTTCTGACTAAGCCTTCAAAAGTCCCCAGAAGTCCCACTGCACATACAGAGATCAAGGTTCTACCTCTTTCTACCACATGGTAGGATTATATTACATCCAGGTTTCGGGTGGGACATATTTAAGCCATAGCAGGCTTTTCTATGAAGAGAAAGTAAGTATTTAAATTTTTTTAATTTTTTATTTATTTTTATTTTTATTATTATTATTTTGTTGTTGGTGGTGGTGGTCATGGGGCTTGAACTCTGGGCCTGGGCGCTGTCCCTCAGCTCTTCAGCTCAAGGCGAGCGCTCTACCACTTGAGCTACAGTGCCATTTCCGGTTTTCTAGTGGTTTATTGGAGATAGGAGTCTCACAGTCTTTCCTGCCCGGGCTGGCTTTAAACCGTGATCCCCAGATCTCAGCCTCCTTAGTAGCTAGGATTACAGGTGTGAGCCACTGGTGCCCGGCAAATTAGGTATTTTCAACACACACCTCCAGTAGCATGAACGCAGCCATATGAATGGACATGACTATGTGCCAATAAAGCTTTATTAACAAAACAAACAAACAATGGAACAGCGGGCCAGATTGTCTAATGGCTACTCTCGAAGATCAAAAAGCTAGAGTTAGGATCACAGATACTTAAGGACACTGGATCCTGTGATCCTTCACTGTGGCCTACAAGACCTGTTGATCACAGGATTCTAGAATGTTCCCTCACACCAGATCCTTGGAGGGCCAGAAGTATTTCTGAGATTTTAAGATTCTGTAGAAGTTGTAAATGTCAGGCGAAGCAGTGTATCCTGAGGTCTTCACACAGTAACTGCTGGCCACACGCAGTGTGCAATTTGTCTGTCTGGAAGCCGTGGAACTCAGGGCTTCACCCTTGCTAGGCAAGTGCTCTGCCAGCACTCAACTGAACCACATTCCCTGTTCTTTTTTTTTTGCCAGTCCCAGGGCTTGAACCCAGGGCCTGGGCACTGTCCATGAGCTTCATTTGCTCAAGGCTAGTGCTCTACCACTTGAGCCACAGCGCCACTTCTGGCTTTTTTTTTTTTTTCATGTAGTACTGAGGAATCAAACCGGGAGCTTCATGCATGCAAGGCAAGCACTCTACCACTAGACCACATTCCCAGCCCCTGTTCTTTTGTTGACATTCTATTTTTTTTTTTTGATACGTCTTGCTACCTTTGCCCCACTGACCTCCAACTTCTGATTTTCTTGTCTCCTCCTCCCCCAGTAGCTGGGACTACAGGCATGCACCACCATGCTCAGACTTTTTGTGTCTCTCACTTTCCCTCCGGCAAATACAAAGTCACACTGCATTGCTAGTAGAGTGCTGGCATCCAGAGTCAGGCCTTCCCAGGTACATGTGATGTCCCTTGGCATGGATGAAAGCCCCCCCCCACCAAGGGCATGGGTGAGGACCGAGGGTGAGGGACAGAGGGGTGACAGAAACTGAGCGTGTGGAAGGCTGCAGGCAGGGAAGGAGGCATGTGACCTGACACAACTAAAGCAGCCAAGCCCTTCCTCTCCCACCACTTCCCCTTTCAAACTTGATAACCTAGCACAGATCTCATCTCCCACTTCCAGAACTTGCCCTCTGGTATGGGGCTGGCATCTCCAACTTGGCTAAGTGTTTCTAGAAAGGGTTGGTGGGACCCAGCTCTTGGGGTCCAGCACCTCCCTCCTGAATGGGCTTGGGGAAAGCATGGACTCACCATCTACTTAGTCCTCGTGCCAAGCAAAGGCAATGGTGGCTGGGAACTAAGGTTCAGTGAGAAAGAATGGAAGGGGGGAACAGAGAGGAAATCAGGGGGTCTTCCTGGAGGAGGTGACACTTTGAGGACTGCAGATTCAAGGCAGAGAGATCTGAAGATTGTGGTTCAAAGCCAGCATGAGAAGGAAACTATGTGATACTTTTTTTTTTTGCCAGCAAGCCATTTAGGCCTAGTGGCACAAGGTTGCAATCTCTACTACTCAAGAGGTGAGGATGGGAGGATTGTGAGTTCAAAGCCAGACCTGGAAAAGTTAATGAGATGCTGTCACCAAAAAAAAAAAGATAGGGTCTGGGAAGGTAGCTCAGCGGTAGAGTGCATGCCTTGCAAGCATGAGGCCCTGGGTTCGATTCCTCAGCATCACATAAACAGAAAAAGCCGGAAGTGGCGCTGTGGCTCCAGTGGTAGAGCGCTAGCCTTGAGCTGAAGAGCTAAGGGACAGTGCCCAGGCCCAGAGTTCAGGCCCCATGACCGGCAAAAAAACAAAACAAAACAAAACAAAGATATGGGAGCATGGCTCAAGTTGAAGAGCATTCTAACCTATTATGGAAGAGGCCTTGGATTTAATCTCTAGTATGACAAAAACAAGGAAAAAAATAAAAAGAGAGGAGGTGCTGGTGGCTCACACCTGTCATCCTAGCTACTCAGGAGGCTGAGATCTGAAGATTGTGGTTCAAAGCCAGCATGAGAAGGAAACTATGTGATACTTTTTTTTTTGCCAGTCCCAGGGCTTGAACTCATGGCCTGGGCACTGTCCCTGAGCTTCTTTTGCTCATGGCTAGTGCTCTACCACTTGAGCCACAGCACCATTTCCAGCTTTTTCTTTTTTTTCTTTTTATTTTTTTTAGGCCATGGGGCTTGAACTCTGGGTTTGGATGCTGTCCTTGCAGTCTTCAGCTCAAGGCAAGTGCTCTACCACTTGAGCTACAATGGCACTTCTGGTTTCCTGGAACTTTATTGGAGATAAGAGTTTCATGGACTTTCCTACCCAGGCTGGCTCTAAACCTCGGTCCTCACATCTCAGCCTCCTGAGTAGCTAAGATGACAGGCGTAAGCCACCAGTGCCTGGCTGATTTCCAGCTTTTTCTGTGTATGTGGTACTGAGGAATCGAACCCAGGGCAAGCACTCTCCCACTAAGATACATTCTCAGCCCTCTGTGAGACTCTTATCTCCAATTAGTCATCAAAAAGCCATAAGAAGACCTATGGCTCAAGGGGTAGAACACCAATGTTGAAAGAACAGTATTTAGTACCTGGTCCTGAGTTTAAGCCCCAGGACCAACACACACACACGCACACACACACACACACACACACAGAAGAAGGAAAGAAAGAAAGAAAGAAAGAAAGAAAGAAAGAAAGAAAGAAAGAAAGAAAGAAAGAAAGAAAGAAAGAAAGAAAGAAAAGAAAGAAAGAAAGGAAGAAAGAAAGAAAGAAAGAAAGGAAGGAAGGAGAACAGAATAAACCAGACACCAGTGATTCTCTCCTGTCCTCCCAGCTTCTTGGGAGAGCAAGAGGAAAAAGGAGGATCATGGTCCAAGCATACACGGGGGCAAAAAAGTAAGATCCTATCTCAAAACTAAACAATGCAAGAAAAAAGGGTGGGAGGTGTGGCTCAAGTAGTAAAGCTGCTGCCTAGCAAGCATGAGACCCTGAGTTCAAACTCCAAGACCACCAAAAAACGGTTGAGGGGAAAGCCAGTTGGCTGGAAAGGAAGGGAGGGGACTATGGTGTGCTCATGGAAGCCAAGAAGTCCAGGCCTCAAACAGCACTGGTTTTCTGGGACAAGGTATCCAGCGTGGAGCGTGTGCAGGACTTGTCCCTGGCTAGGGACTCTTCGGTCAACACGTTGCGGAGGACAGTGTGGAGTGACTTGCGGAGCCGGAACAGAAAGTCCCAGCCGGCCACCACGTAGATAATAGGGTTCACGCAGCAGTTGACATAGGCGATGGAGATGCACAGGGAGTCCAGCTTGGAGACCTGGTTGAAATAGGGCGACAAGGGGTTCAGCCAACCCAGTATGAGCCCAGACACCTGGTACGGCAGCCAGAGGACGAAGAAGCTGGTCACCACAGCCACTACCACCTTGAGAGTCTTGGGCGAGCGCGTGGCCTTGCGGCTCCAGGTCCGGAGCAGTAGGAAGGTGTAGCAGATGGTGAGCACTATCAGAGGCAGCACGAAGCCGAGGAGGAGGCGCAGGATGGCCACCGTCCTCTCCTTGACAATACCGCCCTCCATGTAGTCGACGCCACAGACGACACTTCTGTCGGAGAAAGGGTCCCGATGGATCTTGCGGTACAGGAAGGAAGGGATGCTCATCAGGAAGGCTAAACCCCAGGCCACGGCACAGGCCATCCAAGCTCTGCTGGCCCGGCGGAAGTTCTGGCACCAGATGGGGTTAAACACCAAGAGGAAGCGGTCGGCGCTGATGGTCACCAGGAGCAGGATACTGGCATACATGTTGAGCAAAATGAGGGATGGCAGGATGTGGCAGCTGGCATCCTCAAAGGCGGAGTCCTTGAAGGGCCATACGCCTTTGTTCACGATCGTGGCAAACAAGACAGGCAGAGCCAGGCAGGATGTGAGGTCGGCCACCGCCAGGTTGAAAAACCAAATGGCATTGACAAGGCGCCTGAGGTCGAAGGCGGTCACCCAGATGACCAGGGCATTGCCCGGCACTCCCACCAGGAAGACCAGCGTGTAGATGATGAGGGCAAGGATGTCGGCAGGGTAGTGGTGGGTAGAGGTGCCATCCACACGGACATTGGGGTCCCAGGTCCCTCTTGAGTAATTGGAGTAATTGGAGTAATCAGAGTAATCAGGATAATCATAGTCGTTGTTCTTAAAGTTCTCGTTGGCCATGGGACCTATGGGGTTAAACACATTCTCAGCTCCCAGACTCCTAGCCAGCAAGTGTTCCTCATGGATTATTATTATTACTATTATTACAATGTGATGATCCTGAGGTTTGAACTCAGGGCCTGGGCACTGTCCTTGCGCTGTGTTAGCTTATGGATAGCACTCTACCACTTGAGCCACAGCACCACTTCTGGCTTTTTCTGTGTATGTGCTACTGAGGAATTGAACCCAGGGGTTCAGGCATGCTAGAGAAGCACTCTACCACTAAGCCACCTTCCCAGCCCCACTTCTGGCTTTTGGGTGGTTTATTGGAGATAAGAGTCTCACAGACTTTCCTTCCCCAGGCTGGCTTTGAATCATCATCTTCAGATCTCAGCCTCCTAAGTGGCTGGGATTACAGGTGTGAGCCGCTCACACCTGGCCCTGGTTCCCACTTTTCTGTAACTTTGAAAATATTTCAAAAGGGAAATTTAACATGTCGAAACATTTCCTTTAGTAACTAGCCCATGACCTACCCCCCCCACCTCCTGGGGCACCCCATGTCCGCTCAGGGAGGTTCCGCCTGAGAAATCAGCATCCCCTGGAAGGGCCACAAGAATTCACTTTTTTTATGATGAATCATGGGGCTTGAACTCTGGGCCTGGGCGCTGTCCCTCAGCTCTTTTTTTTTTGGGGGGGGTCAGTCATGGGGCCTGAACTCTGGGCCTGGGCGCTGTCTCTCAGCTCCTCAGCTCAAGGCTAGTGCTCTACCACTTGAGCCACAGCGCCACTTCTGGCTTTTTTCTTTTTGCTTATGTGGTGCTGAGGAATTGAAAACCCAGGGCCTCAGGCATGCAAGGCAAGCGCTCTACCACTGAGCCACCTTCCCAGCCCTGTCCCTCAGCTCTTCAGCTCAAGGTGAGTGCTCTACCACTTGAGCCACAGCACCACTTCCAGTTTCCTGAGTGATTCATTGGAGATAAGAGTCTCATGAAAAAAAAAAAAAAGAGTCTCATGGACTTTCCTGAAATTACTTTTAAGCTGAGTGCTAGTAGCTCACACCTGAAATTCCAGCTACTCAGGAGGCTGATATTTGAGGTTCACGTTCAAGGCCAGACCAGGCAGGAAAATCTATGAGACTCTTAGCTCCAATTAATCACAGAAAAAGCTAGAAGTGGGGCTATGGCTCAAGTGATAGAACACTAGCCTTGAGAAAAAGGACCTCAGGGACAGCTCCCAGGCCGAGTTCAGGCCCCATGACTGACACACACACAAAAAAAAAAAAAGAAGAAGAAGAAGAAAAAGAGGAAGAAGTTGCTTTTGCCAATGTCCACCATAGCCTGAGCCGCAGAATGACTCAGATCCCAAGGGCAGGGCCTCTCGCTCCCCTGGGCCCCTGGAAGTGACCAGTTCTTCCTGGCATGAGATCACCCTGTCTTCTGATCTTGTTGACTTCAAGAGAGCAGAAAAAAAATGGTGCTGATTCTCACTCTGTGGTTTCCTGCCTCTCTCCATCATGTAAACAAGTCAAATGTTTTCCCCACTCCCAGGTTTTGGGGTATGGTAGTGTGGTAGTACACACTTGTAATCACAGCACTGGGAGGTTGAAGCAGGAGGATTTTTTTTTTTTGGTCAGTCATTGGGGCTTGAACTCTGGGCCTGAGCACTGTCCCTCAGCTCTTCAGCTCAAGGCTAGTACTCTACCACTTGAGCCACAGTGCTACTTCTGGCTTTTTCTGCTTATGTGGTGCTGAGGAATTGAACCTAAGGCCTCATGCATGCAAGGCAAGCCCACTAGGCCACCTTCCCAGCCCCAGGCAGGAGGATCTTGAGGTCAAGGCCCATCTAAAATACATAGTGAAGTCTTGTCTCAAATCAAACAGAGGTAGAAAACAACTGAAGTCTCTGGCACGAGGGGCTGAAGCAGACAAAACCAGGGCACAGCTAGGTAACAGGAAAATATCAACAAGACAGAGGAACCACTCAAGTCCGAGGGTATAAAGTCCTCAAATATCTAGTATGGAAGGAGAGGACAAAGAGGACATGGTGGCATCCACCTGTAATCCCAGCTCCCTGGGAGGCAGAGGGAGGAGGATCACCAGCTGGAGGCCAGCCCAAGGCAAAATGAACAAGACTGTGTCTCTAAGACAAGACACACAAAAAAGGGGGGGCTAGGGATATGACTCAGTTATGAAGCACAAGATGCTAAAATCCAACCCAAGAATTGCAAAAAGAAATAAATAGGTCAAGAAATGCATATAAAATATATAGCCAGCCGGGCGCTGGTGGCTCACGCCTGTAATCCTAGCTACTCAGGAGGCTGAGATCTGAGGATCGCGGTTCAAAGCCAGCCCGGGCAGCAGAGACCGTGAGACTCCTATCTCCAATAAAAACTACCAGAAAACCGGAAGTGGCGCTGTAGCTCAAGTGGTAGAGCGCTCGCCTTGAGCTGAAGAGCTGAGGGACAGCGCCCAGGCCCAGAGTTCAAGTCCCACAGCCGACAAAAAAAAAAATACCTGCAATCCCAGCTACTCAGGAGGCTGAGATCTGAGGATGGCGGTTCAAAGCCAGCCCAGGCAGGAAGGGCCATGAGACTCTTCAATAAACTCTTCAGTAAACCAGAAAACCAGAAGTAGCGCTGTGGTTCAAGTGGTAGAGCGCTTGCCCTGAGCTGAAGAGCTGAGGGACAGCACCCAGGCCCATAGTTGAAGCCCCAGGATAGACAAAAAAGAAAAAGAAAAAAGAAAGAAAAAGAAATGCATCAAAATATATAGAAAAGCCAGGCACTGGTGACTCATATCTGTTATCCTAGCGACTCAGGAGGCTGAGATCTAAAATTTGAGGTTCAAAGCCAATCTGGGCAGGGGAGTCTGTGAGACTCTTCAATAAACCACCAGAAAACCAGACATGTTGCTGTGGTTCAAAGTAGTAGAATGCTAGCTTTGAGCAAAAGAGGTCAAGGAAAGCACCCAGACCCCGAGTTCAAGCCCCAGGACCAACAGAACAATCCTGATAATGGAACATCTAAGCACTAAGAACCAGAAATACATTTTTTTTCCTTGTGTGGATCCTGGGACTTCAACTCAAGGCCTCTGTCCCTGGCCTGTTTTGCTCAAGGTTGGTGCTCTACCACTTGAGCCACAGCTCCACTTCTGCCTTTTTTGGTCACTAATTAAAGACAAAAGTCTCCTGGATGTTCCTATCTGGGATGGCTTCAAATCATATTCATCAGATTTCAGACTTCTGAGTAGCTGGGATTACGGGTGTGAGCTATAGGGTGCCTGGCCCTTTTTTTTTTTTTCCCATGAGACGAACTCTGGGCCTGGGCGCTGTCCCTCAGCTCTTCAGCTCAAGGCGAGCACTCTACCACTTGAATCATAGCGCCACTTCTGGTTTTCTGAGTGGTGTTTTGGAGATAAGAGTCTCACAGCCTTTCCTGCTTGGGCTGGCTTTGAACCTCAATCCTCAGATCTCAGCCCCCTGAATAGCTAGGATTACAGGTGTGAGCCACCGGTGCCTGTTTTTTTGTTTGTTTGTTTGTTGTTGTTGTTTTTTCAAGTATAAAAGAAGCTTTCCAAGCTTCGAGAAGGGAAGGGTAACAAAAGCCAAAGAGCTCCCTGAGTGGCAGGGCTGAGTGCGAGGTGAACAGGTTCTCTTGTGCTCTAGGGGTGGGAAATAAAAGTTAACCTAACTGTTGGCAGTATCTGTTAAAGAGAATTGCTCACATCTTGGAATCTAGAAACCCAGTCATGGGTGCAAAGATGTGCATAGAGGTACAGACACAGTTTTGTTGTTGTTCTGGGCTCGGTTTTTGTTTTGTTTTATTTTAGGGTCTTGTTATGTAATCCAGACTGGACTTGAACTCACAACCTCCCTTTCTCAATCTCCTGAGAGCTTAGACTATAGGTAGGAATTACTACAGCACCTAACTACAATCTTAAAGACAAAAGAGGGGCTAGGAAGGTGCCTCAGTGGCAGACTGCTTGCCTTGTATGCATGAGGCCCTGGGTTCGATTCCTCAGCACCACATAAGCAGAAAAAGCCGGAAGTGGTGCTATGGCTCTAGTGGTAGAGTGCTAGCCTTGAGCTGAAGAGCTGAGAGACAGCGCCCAGGCCCAGAGTTCAGGCCCCATGACCAGCCAAAAGAAAAAGAAAAAAACCCACAAAATAATGGAAACCACCTAAAGAGTGAAACCTCACCCTAGAATATTATACTGTCAGCACAAAGGAGGGCTTTACCTCCCTGGAGAGACATGGAGATTCTGTGCTTTCCTCCTAGTTTGTTTTTACCATGATGTTAGTAAATGAGCCGTGCTTGCATGGTATCTGGAATGCAGAAAGTACCCCCTAAATGCTGGTTAGGAACGTTAGATGCTATTCATGGGAAAAAGCAAGATTAAAAAAAAAAACTTGCCCATGTAATTGTAACCCCTCTGTACAGTATTTTCACAATAAAAAATAAATAAAATTTTTTTAAAAAAAGGGCTGGGTGTCTGTCAAGTCATCTGCCTTGCAGGGACTATAGTTTATTGCCCTCACCTAAAAGAGAATGAGAAGAAAAGAAGGAAAGGGTGGGGGAAGATAGAAAGAATAACACCCAAAAAGGAAGCCAGGCACAGTAACACGCACCAGAAAGAGAGAGAGAGAGAGAAAGATTAGAAAGGGCCCATGTCCATGGTTGGCACACAATAGAGGCAGAAGTTGAACTGGACTCAGGGTTTCTTTTTTTTTGGGGGGGGGGTCCGGTCGTGGGGCCTGAACTCTGGGCCTGGGCGCTGTCCCTCAGCTCTTCAGCTCAAGACTAGCGTTCTACCACTTGAGCCACAGCGCCACTTCCGGCTTTTTTCTTTTTGCGTATGTGGTGCTGAGGAATCGAACCCAGGGCCTCATGCATGCAAGGCAAGCGCTCTACCACTGAGCCACCTTCCCAGCCCTGGACTCAGGGTTTCTTATGTCTAACTGCTGCTCCTGACTTTGTTCCCAAAGCTTGGTCATCAATAACCTACTTCTAGAAGATTCCATCACAGATTGGTTCCCAGGGCTGCCTTTAAGGACAATGACAAAGTGGTACAGTGGCTCAAAGTGGCAGAGCACTAGCCTTGAGCAAAAGAGCTCAGGGACAGTGCCCAGTCTCTTGAGTTCAAGTCCCAGGACCAACAACAACCAAAAAAAAATGTCATGCTGGCCGGGTGCTGGTGGCTCATGACTGTCATCCTAGCTACTCAGGAGGCTGAAATCTGAGGATCACAGTTCAAAACCAGCCCGGGCAGGAAAGCCCATGAGACTTTTATCTCCAATAAACCACCCTGAAAACCAGAAGTGGCGCTGTGGCTCAGGTGGCAGAGTGCTGGCCTTAAGCAAAAGAGCTCTGGGGCAGCACTCAGGCCCATAGTTCAAGCCCCACCACTGAAAACAAAACAAAACCAAAAGGACCATGACAAGATGCCGGGAACACCAGAGGACGAAGAAGAGTGACTTTTCTCATGACTGCCTTTTCTACCATTGGAATATTTCATGGCAAAGAAAAAGGCAGCAGGCATCATGGCTCGCTTCTGGATGCCCCATTTGCCCACGTCATTCTTCAGGTTATGTAGCAATCTCCTTCCTGGCCATTTCCTCTTTCACTCCATGAAGCAATGTTTGGGCCTTCCTGACCACAGACACAAAACTGTGGCTGAGCTGGTAAGGGTTCAGGAACTGGGGTCATACACACAGAAAGGGACATAGCTTCTATCACCAACCACTGAAGGATCCAGGTCATCCCCGCTTTCTGCCCGAACCTCAGTTTCCCTTCTCTGTAGCCCAGATGGACTGAAGTCCCATGCAAGCAGGTCCAGCTCCAAGCTTCGATTGCTCTAGATTTCTGTGCTTTTTGAAGGACTGGGAATGGAACCCAGGGTACCTCCCAAGTGCTATAAGTCTTCATTATTGAGGGTGTGTGTGTGTGTGTGTGTGTGTGTGCCAGTCCTGTAACTGGAACTCAGAACCTGGACATTGTTCCTGAGCTTTTTTTTCTATTCAAGGCTGGCGCTCTACTACTTTAGCCACAGCTCTTCTTCTGGCTTTTTGTTGGTTAACTGAAGATAAATGATCTGTGGACTTGTCTGCCTGGGCTGGCTCTGAACTGTGACCCTCAGATCTCAGCTTCCTGGGTAGCTGGGATTACAGGTGTGAGCCACCACTCCTGGCTCATTTTAAGAAATGTAACTCAAGGGTTTCCCCCCTGAGAACTGTCTGTAGCCCCAGTCCTACAAGGCAATTACGATTTCTACCGTTTCCTCACAACTTTATTCCTTGCGCAGATCCCAAACCTGGACTAGACTAGGAAAAAGACGGTAGCTGGCTTGGGGTTAGGGGCAGGAATCAGAAGAGAAATGAGAATTAGGGAGACAGAGAGGCACCCACATGCATCATCTCAGCTCCCCAAGTGGCAGAGGCAGGAGGATCTCAACTTCAAAGCCATCCTGGGCAGTTAGTGAGACCCCATGTCAAAAGCAAAATAAGCTGGGTTTGATATTGTAAGCCTGAAGGCTCTTGAGGCAGAGATAGGAGGATTAAAGTCCTGGCTACCTGGCCAGGGCAAGGGTGGAGCGCAAGACCCTACCTAGAAAGTAGCAGACTGTCTGCCTAGCAAGCACAGGGCCCTGGGTTCAAATCTCAGTAATCCTTCCCTCGGAAAGAATACAAATAAAAGGGCTATGGATGTGGTTCAAGTGGTAGCTTCACAGCCCTGGTTCCCTCCCTAGGGCCCCCTCAAAGAATAAAGGGGTGCAACCCACACTCACAGTATTGGAGCTCCTCCCGCTCTGCGATGGTCGAGTGCGCCTCCCAACAGCTAAGCTGCGGGTTTTAAAGCATGAGGGGCAGATGCGGATGAAGGGAGGAAGTGACTGGCTTTCCTCTTGGCGTTCTCATTGGGTTGTGCATGGGGCACCCTGGCCGGGTCTCTCCATGACACCCACAAGTCCTCTACATCTTGGAAGACTTGGGGCTTCATGCGGGGCTGGCAAGCCCTCCTCCCCAGCCTAGGCTCAGCCCCTCTTTGGGCCTATAGTCCTTCATTTGTTTCTTGGGGGAAGTAGGGGGTGGGGATGGGAGAGGGATTGATCCTGGGGCTTGAACTCAGGGCCTGGGTGCTGTCCCTGTGGTTTTTTACTTTAGGCTAGTGCTCTACCACTTGAGCCACAGCACCATTTCCAGTTTTTTGGCTAAGAGTCTCACAGACTTTCCTTCCCAGGCTGGCTTTGAACTGCTATCCTCAAATCTCAGCCTCCTGAGTACCTAGGATTACAGGCCTGAGTCACTGGTGCCTAGCTTTCCAGGAGACTCTATCTCTAGTAACTCACAGAAAAAAAAAAAAAAGAAAAAAAAAACTAGAAGTAGTCATGTAGCTCAGGTGGTAGAGTGCTAGCCTTAAGCAAAAGGAGCTTAGGGACAGCATCTAGCCCCAGAGTTCAAGGTCCAGGATGGGGAGGGGGGGGAGAAAAAAAAAAGCCAGGCATCAGTGGCTCACACCTATCATCCTAGCAACTCAGGAGGCTGAGATCTAAGGATCACATCACAGTTCAAAGCCAGCCCGAGCAAGAAAGTTCATGAGACTCCTTATCTCCAATAAACCACCAGAAAACAGGAAGTGGCGCTGTGGCTCAAGTGGTAAAGCGTTGGCCTTGAGCTGAAGAGCTGAGGGACAGCACCCAAGCCAAGTTCAAGCCCCACAACCACAAAAAAAAAAAAAAAGTCTGTAACAATTGAATAGTGGAAGCCAGAAGCCAGGTGCCAGTGGCTCACACCTGTGGCTCTAGCTACTGAAGAGGCTGAGAGCTAAGGGTTGTGGTTTGAAGCCAGCCCCAGCAGGAAAGTCCATGAAACTTTTATCTACAATAATCTACTCAGAAAAAAAAAAAAGCTAGAATTAGCGCTGAGGTACAAGTGGTAGAGCACTAGCCTTGCACAAAAAGATCAGGAACAGGGCTGGGAAGGTGGCTGAGTGGTAGAGTGCTTGCCTGCATGCCTGAGGCCCTGGGTTTGATTCCTCAGCACCACATATGCAAAAAGAAAAAAGCCGGAAGTGGTGCTGTGGCTCAAGTGGTAGAGCGCTAGCTTGAGCTGAAGAGCTGAGGGACAGCACGCAGGCCCAGAATTCAGGCCCCATGACCAGCCCCCCCCAAAAAAAGATCAAGAACAGTGCCCAGGCCTTGAGTTCAAGGGGGGGGGGGATCGCGTGGGTGGTGGGGGTGGGAGAGTGAATGGAGGAGCCATAGAAAAGCCATAGGCCGGGTCAACAATCAACAGAGACCTCTCCCACAAACCCATTTTAAGTTGAAAATACCCTGGGTCTGGAAGACATGCAGTATGCCTCACACCAGCTACTTACTATTCCTCTGCCTGGCTTAGCAGACCAGCCCTACAGAGGGGTGCCCGCTGCTCCCCGCAGCCCCCAACCTCTAGGGGACACACGATCAGGAAGGGAGGCTTGTGCAGCACGGGGGTGTAGCATGGCTGAGACTGGGGAGACACGGGAACGGAGGGGTGGAAAGGACAGGTGGGAGGACGAGCTGGGGGTAGAGACCAGGACACAGCTAAGAAGAACTGCGTGGACAGCCAAGCGAGAGAAAAAGGTGGAAGGAGACAGGGTGCATCCAGACAGCCACAAGGAGGAGGAACGGGGACCCTGGGGCTGGAAACTCAAAATGAAGGGCACTGGAGGTAGCAGGGAGAAGCCCCTGGCTGGCAGCGCTATGGGCTGCCTTAATATCCCTGGGGAATCCAAACTGTGGCTTCTAAAGGAGAGAGGAGGAGGAGGAGGAGGGGACAGGGCATGTGACACGGTCCGGGGCTTTAGGCCAACAGTCCCCCATGCTCTGGCTATACACAGCCCTTCCCCAGGCCCGCCTGTCACTGACCTTCAGTGGCCCTGCCCAACCGCGCCCCCCCAACTGCCCGCGAGGAGGGTGAGGGAAGCACGGGGACCCCTGGGAAAGAGGGGGGCGGGGGGCCTGGGGTCTGACTGCCGGAAGGATTTCCCAGAGACAACACAGACACCGCGAGGCAGCTGAGGCTGGAGTTTATTGCAGATGGCTGTGGTGGAGACGGGGAGAGGAGCGGCCCCCCGGCTGCGGGCTCCGGGCCCAGAACCCCCCGGGGTAGGATCAGGAGCCCCGCGGGGTCGGAGATGGGCCGCAGCGGGCCCCGCCGCTCCGGGATGACGGCTCCGGGACGCTGGGCGCGGGCGCTGGGCGGGTGCCTGGGGG